TGTAATTCTTTCTGTTAATTTCTAGGAATTTAGAACATGAAGAATTAAAGCTCTGAGCATTTTGTCTTTTGATCATCAGTGATTAAATTACAAGTACTGTAAAGCTGAACACTGAGAGAACTTTAAGGCCGTAGAAGGCAGCTCGATTTCGAAAGGGATTTTTCAAGTGCAGAATGATTAAATGTTTTTTTCTCAGCCCAGGCTCTAGATGATTAGTGGTGATTGGACTAAGAATGTTTCATTTGCTTTAAGAATGCCCAATAGCAGTTTAAATGCTTGTAGAGAAGCAGTAGGCCTTTATCACATTATATCTTTCATTTATAGTCTCTATATGAAACCTGGTTTTCATTTGTAGTCCTTATATATGTTTAACATTCTAAATTTTTACCATCAGATTTGTGTAAACATATAAATCCTTATCTGAATAACTGAAATATAAATATACCTCTGTCAGGCAAGCTGTGGCAGAGGGGAGGTTGTTTTGAAATTGAAAGATAAATAAATAATTTTTCTTTCGCCTACTGTTTTCATCTAAACTTTCTCATGTTATTTTGATCAGAGAAGTTATTTGCACATAACTCCATAATATTTTTTGAAGAGTTAAGTGTAAATTTTTGAACTTCTGATTTTTTTTTAAAATTATCTCTACTGGTGAGAATTGCAAATGATTAAAAAAAAAAAAAAGAGTAGTAAGAATTTTATGCAGGATGAATATTTGACTGACTGTTTTAGAGAAGAGCTAATGTGCTTTTCATCCAAGGAGAAAGCACAGATTTTACATTAGACAGACAGGCTTAATGTCTAGAACTTTGTTCATATGCAGTACAAGAAAATTCAATGTCATTCTATTTTCTCCCCTGCAAGTTTGAGAAAATATTTGCAGGTTGTCTAAATAGCAGCATGAGAATGTGGTTCATGAACTGAAACTTAATTTTCACTGATTAGTTGCCTGTTTTTGCAGTGATGGCACACAGCACATGAAACTATGTTCAAAAAACCATTTAGGATTACCTGCAGGTAGTGTACTCCCAAAGAGTTCTGGCAACAACCTGCTAAATGCTTTATCTTCTAAATCCATATTTCAGTGAAGGAAATTTCATTGTGTTGCTTGCTGAACTCATCTAGGTGAGGATAAGATCCAGGAAGTACCTCTCTTCCACCTCCTTGCAATGTTAGCTTAGAGTTATTCCTGCTCCACAAGTATAAAACTAAAACACAGAGATGAAGACACTGAACTGACTTCTTATTTATGTGCTAAGCATTAAGAATATGGGCCTTTACAAGTGTCTTCATGTTTATCTGCTTAGGTGTCTGGTGAGTCTGAGGGATTGACACACACACATCAAAACGGGCTGATTTCAGGAGGTTGTATGAATAAATGAATTTGCTTACTAGGAGGAACTCCCTGGTTGAAACTCTTGGTCTGGTGTCTGGTTCTGTCCACGGATAGATCTACTGCCTTATTCTGACTGAAACCCACAGCTAGAGATATTCTGTCCCATGGAATTAGGGATCCAGCAGCTGGCACCTCTCTTTTGCGTATCCTGAAAGCTGGATTCATTCAGAAAGCTGAGCACTGCAGGTGTTTAGCTTATATGTTTGGATTGAATTGACAGCTGAATTACTTTTTGAGAAGGAGAATAAAAAGGATTTTTGAAAAATGGTGCAAATCCTGTAAAATACAAAAATAAGACTTTATACATCAGATATCTCATCAACTCTTTGTCATTAAAAGTTGAATTTATATTGTTTTATTGACAACTATATTTAAAATACAACCTTACAGATTCATATTTCTTAATAGTATATTATATTGCAGTACTGTTATATATTTATTAAATTCAAAGAATCTCACGCTAAGAAACTGTTTATATTGAAAGTTATTTTCTTTTAGTTGGATACAAGAAGAACATAGAATCATGCTGAATCTGATGTACTTGTTATCTTTGGGGTATTTATCTGCAGGAAGTGAAATCTAAAAGACTATGTAGATCTTTAATTCTTGTACCTCATCTTAAATACATTTGCTTTACTTTTGTTTTGTAAATTTTTTCTTCTATTTTTTTTTAGAGGGGCATATCATGCTTTCGTTTATATAAAACAACTAACTGAAATACAAAACTTTTAAACTTTTTTTTGAAGAAAAATCCTGCTTTTTACTTGAGAAGTAAGGAGTTGAATGATTGATGAAGAGTAAACCAGATGTATTTCTGACCATCTAATAATGTTTTCCAATAAAATTAGTCACCAGGATTAGACTGGCTATAATAAAATTATAAGCAGTGATTAGAATAAATTGGATATACTGGAATGTTATATCTGTTATTCCAAAAAATTGGCTAGCACTTCTCAGAAGCTGTAATTGTAAGTGCTGCTGGTAAGGGGACACTTTTGAAACTGAACTTCTCAGATACACTGAAAATGGTGAAAATAAAAAGATTCCCCCATTCCTTTGTGGGCTGGGTTTTGCAACATAGTGAATGAATATTATGGCAATTTTATCATCTGTTCAGTTTGAATGTCTTATACTACGGTGTCAAATTGAACAATGTAGAAGATGAATGTTGATGTGCTAACAGAGAAATTGCATCTTAAAGTGGTTTGCTCTATTAAAAATCCTATAGGATGTGGTACAGGCATGATCAGCTAGGGATCGGCAGCTCGAGTAAAACACTTTCAGCACAGGCAAAGGAAGTTAACAAAATACTTACTCCTGAAATTAACTTTTCTAAGGTTTCTACAGCGCTACTTGATGCCTCCATGGCTTGGTCTGTTTAGGTTACTTCCCTCTTTATGTGATTATATCCTGCCATGGAAGCAGAAAATTGGGAATTAAGTAGCTTTTTTAAATGCAGCTTGGTAGACTCCATCTATTTTCTAGAAACCCCGTCTACAATTGTTGCAGTTATAATTAATATTGCAATTGTTATATGTTTTTAGATTATTTTGGCATAGATATTCCATTGCTTGTATCCTATTTATGTCCACTGTCATTACAAAATATTGCTTTGCAATATTTCAGATTCATCTTTGTCAAGAGTTGCAGAAATTTATAGTAGCAATTGTTTGATTACCTCTAATTGAAGTAAGAATTGTAGTATTGCAATTTTTTTATTCTTTTTGCAGACTTGATTCCAAAGAGTGGCATGTTTTGATTGAATATTGGTGCTATGTTTGTGTATTTTCTTTTTGTGAGAAGTATAATCTACCTGAGTAATGCTTGATCTCCAGACTGTGATTTCCTCAAATGGTTAACTAACATTAAAGATATTTAAAAACTATATATTAACAGATTGAAATGAAGTACTCAGAGAATATTTATAAAATGTAGAACATCACCCACAATGTATCTGTCACAGATGGAAGAAATGAATGTATTGACAGGTGTGCAATCGATAGAATAAGTTTATAGACCTAAAATCCTTTCCAAGATGCCAGAAATTAGCAGTTTGTCTTCAGTACTGGATGTGAATTAGCTTGAACAGAAGCTGAAGTCCCATTAGGCAGCCAATGCTTTATTGCCTGTGTACTGGAATAAAGTAATTTACTATGTTTTTCTGAGAATGTGACTGTGAAATTTGTTCTTGAAACATTAGCCAGACAGCATGGTGCAGTTCTAACTTGTGTGTTTGCTGGGGATAAATATATACCACATTTTAATTTCTTTCCAGAATCAATGTGCTAGAGAACTCACCATATATGACGTGGTTTCAGAGCCAGTGCTTGGTTTGCTTCCAGACTCTTAAGTGTACAGGTTAATTCATGTCTTGATGATACTGTGCGTGTTTAGACTGGCTGTTTTCATTAAGTCATAAGAAATAGCACAGACTAAAATGATCTTCTGTGTGACCAGAGAGATACCTACGCAGCCTAGATTTTCAAAGGGAGTGGAATGGCTGTATCTGACAACAGGTTTTCATTCTTGCAGTAGCTTGTAAAAGTCACAGAGAAGTACTGGCAACCAGCTAAACATTAGTGGTTTTCACATGTTTGCTGAGGGAAGGACACACTCCTATTCTGAAACAGCAGGGAAAGACAACAATTCTGACTTTACTGTTGCCATCTCTCATGGCTACAAATGTATTTGCTACGTTTCATAGGTAAATCTCCTTGTACTGGTGGCATATGTGGTGCTTCCTCCATCAGCCTCTGAAATATTTCTTATTTTACTGAACAAGTTATTGGTGTAGTAGGCAAGACAAGATCAAGTCTTATGAATGTGAATCCTTGTATCAAATTCACACTTTACTGTTCTTCCATACAGAACAAATGTCATACTCTTGTAACAATGAATAGAAGGCAAAATAAATTTTGGAAACCACCCCCATCGTTTTAGCCATGTCATGTACACAAATTGTCCTGTTCACATAAATGAAGTTGGGAAATGATAATGTAGTCTATGCTAACTTTCTTGTGGTGCAACCTTATATATTAGTTTGTGAGAGGATAGAACTAGTCGATGTATACAGCAATTTTAATGGTATGATTTATATTAACAGTACAGATAATGTAGTGGCTGAAAAGGTAAAAGATGCTTAAATACAGTAGACAGCATTTTTGCATAATGATTTATTTTTTTGGGGCATAGAATACAAACTGGGTAGAATTTAATTTCTAAAGCTGATTAAGTGTAAAATTTATTTTAGCATGGCTTAAATGAAACAGTAACTTTGATATACTAGACAAGCAATTTAAAGAAGCCACTGGCTACTTTGGTTATGGTTTCAACTTTGTAATAACATTTTAATAAGGTTCATTGATATTACACCTTCTAAGAATGTCTCCTTAAATTGAAATGCTGATGTTAAAGGAAGGTATTTATTTTGGTGATGCTGCATTATGGAATTTAACTGGATAACTGCTGATGATTGTTAAACACTCTGTGTGTGTGCATGTGTATATGTTTAAAAATGTACAATGTCTCTTTTAAACATAGTCTCTTTTAAACATAGTGCAACATTGTGAGTAATAAGTATTTTGTCCCATCTACCTTTTGACAGGAGAATTAGATGACAGAGAACAGGCAAAGCTGGAAGTAAAAGTATGGGATCCAGATAGCCCCCTTACTGACCGTCAGATTGACCAGTTTTTAGTTGTAGCACGGTAAGATTAAAATCCTCTCATAAAAAAAAAATCCTTTTCCTTTTTCTACTGACTGTTTATTCCCCTGTATCGTGTTACTCATCCTGTTTGCCATTTTGTAAGCCCTTCTCTTTCCCACAGTTAGCTAAAAGAGAAAATCAGACCATGAACCTTTGTATATTTATTGAAGCTACCAATACAGGAGAGAGGGAAAAAAAGTGAATTTTGGAATATTGCTACATTCCTTGTATTTCAGGTTATAGTAGAATTTGATATTTTGAATGTAGATGGCAGTTTGCTTTCCTCTCAGAGTAAATAATTTCAGTGCTAATAATAATTCAGTGTTTTATAACAATAATAATTGTGTTTTACAGTACTTGGAATTCATGACTTAAAACAGAAGTTAAGAGTAGAAATAAGGAAAATGCTAAAAATTAGATGGATGCAGAACTTGCCACATATGCATGTAAGCTGAGTAATATACAGTGCAATTATTTTGGATGAATATTGAAATAAAATTTTGAAGTCATGTATTTCATTAGCAAAAAAAACCAAGTCAGTTCAATTTTATAAATTAAAATGATTATGTAGATTTATGAAGACAACATCAAAGTGCTTTGAATTAATAAACACCTTCAGAAATTATTTCTCTACTTGAAAAAGAAAAAGCCCTTCAAATATTTGTAGGTTTCTTACTGAAGGACAATTCAACATTCATAGGATACAGCAGATTTTGCCTTTTCTCTAATTCATACTTAAGAAGGTACTGTTCTAGTGATAACAGAGAACACAGTTCACATATGGATTTTATCCTGAATAAATCCATCTCCTGTATTTTCTGTAACCTGCTTGCAGAGTGTAATCTCAAATCTTCTTAGGCAGATAATCCTTTTACATGGTTTCTAGTTTTTGACTTTTTTTTCTCCCTTTTGAAAAAAAAAAACCATTTCAGGAGGAATAAATAAGAAATTGTTCTGTATTTTCCAGCTTATGTGTATGGTGATATGGGATGCTGATTTACTTATTTACAGTTCAGGTGCTGATCCACTTGTTTTTTTCCTTACTCTCCCACTGGGAATGTTGCATCCCTTCTATAAAGTACTAATTTTTTTTTCCCCCTGTCTTTGTTGGATTTTCAAACAACACGGAGGGGTTTAGGTGTTAACAGGTGTTCAGAAAGTCACAGGGTCTGGTAGATGTTCCATAAAAACCAGGAATATGAACTGCTTTTTCACCAGCAATATAATACTTGGAGAAGTATGGCCAGATTTTTGTAGTGTGCCCTAAAGAAATGTCTGCATGAAGGCTCTGAATTTTGGAAGAGTTAATTCATTTCTCTAAAATTCCTCAACTCACTGTTTCTCAGCTACTCTGGGGAGCTGAAGTAGTATTCTGTGGAGCCAAAAATGTTCCCAGAGGAGTGTAGCAGTAAGCAGCCTGCTGGGAAGTAACAGAAAATTAAATACGTAAAGAATATGCTTCTCTCTTCCTGTTACTTAAGACATCCTTTGCAATACTGTGCTCTGACCAAGTCTGCATTTTTTTTTTAAAGCTGATACATTTCTGTAAAGATGGTTTCTGTTACAGTGGGTCGTGGCTGATTAATTGTATCTGTCCAAGGTCTTGCGGTATTTGGATGGCCATCTGTAATTAGGTGCAGCTTTGTGGATGTTCTTGTACAGAACTCCACTCACCTTTGGAAACTGCTTTTCAGCTGACAGGAATGGTTTCCAAGCTCCAATAGACTTGTATTCACAGGACACACTAAGCAGCTTCTGAGACAGATTTTTATTTCTGGAAAAATGGTTCTGCAATGATTTGGTGGCAGCTTTCAATTCAGTGTGTTGTGTGGGTACAGGATTTATGCTGGGCTATTATACATGACCATTAAAAGATGCAGTGGAGAGCTGGTATTAAGATGTGGTGAACAGTGCTTACAGACAGCTCTGCTGCAGCCTAACTGTGGTTTCACTGGGCACTGGCTGCTGGAATTCCAGTTGGAGTGATCTTTCTCTGGTTATGTTTAGTTCTGCAAATTTGAAAATATGACAAGAATAAATTTTTCATAAATACTTTCCCAGGTGTGATTTTCGTTAAGTATGTGTATGCTATTGTGTTTGACATTCTAAAAGCATTTTCAAGTGATCCTTTTTAGATGCTGTGTAGAAGGAACTTAGTATTCTCATTTTTTCCCAGTGTGATCTAGTTGAAATAAGAGTTGCTTTTGTCCTTAAATACTTTAGCTTTTTCACTCACACAGGCAGCTTTGTTGTTTTTTAGAAGGTGTTTAAATATTCTTTTTAATTGTGTTGCCCATTTATATTTGTATTTTTACCTTGGACATGTAGCTTTCCCAGTCTCACAAGGTTTGTTGACTGTCTCAGGTGAGAGAGGCCTTTTTCCTAGGTTTGCCTTGTCAGTCTGGGCCTCTCACTAAGTCCTACTATTCAATACTTTCCTGGGTAGAAAGGTAGAAGAATATGCCTATCCTGTGCAGAAATGAGAGGTAACAGTGCCAAAAAAATGGTGAGGATTTGGAATAAAGCAGAAGGATCCACAAGCTTGGCCTCCCCAAGTAGTCTTGCTTTACACACAGATCTTGAAAGTACCTTATTGTTGCTACTGAAGCATAATTTGGGTAAGGACTCTTGTTTGAACTAGCAAAAGCATCTGTTAGGAGGTGCTTGAGGCCTCAGACTCATGTATTCTGGGTTTGAATTGTCTTTTGGGTAATGTTTGTGCTGTGACAGGGAAAAGTCCAGCAGCATTTTCTATGGCATTCAAAGAAGATGCAACTGCATCAACCAGTTTTCCTTCTGTCCTATACATTGGCCATCTTTCTTCTGTGTCTACCAGCTTCAAAGGAAAGGAGTTTGAGAAGCTACAACAGCCATTTAGATCTGCCCACATTAACAAATAGTTCAGTACAGCAGAAATGGATTTGTAGAATTGAAACTCAGCTTGGTGCTATGGGCCTAGTGTCCACACAATTTGGGAAGATTTATCTTTAGTCATAACTCTAATCAGGTCCTGTGGACTAAATATCTATGGGTATGACTGGGTTCTAATAGGAACCCAGTTGGTAGGCTATGTGATACTTTTTGTTGTTGGTTAAAATGCAGTAGATAAAAATGCTGATTTGAAAAACTCCTAATTTGAACTGATTTAAATATACCCAGTTTCCTCCAGCCGTCAGTCTCCTATCATTTGTAATACACAAGGAGTACTTAATTTAATTGCCAGATCTTATGTTCCTTTTCTAATTCTGTCCCAAGTTGCACAGTGTTAGGAAATAAAAGCATTCCTATTGTATGTATAACATAATCGTCCTGTTTCATTTTGGTTTTTCACAGTCAAAAATTATCCTGCCCAGTCTCAAAAGCATAGGAGGTGTGGGCTGTGGTCTGGACAGACACTGAGAGATGAAGAAATGACCCTTTTTTTCTTTTTTTTTAATTTTTTTTAATTTTTTAAATTTTCTATCTGCTAATTTGGTCTACAGTTCATTGCGTGGCACATTTTGGTAAATTCTAGTTCCATTTATGTGCTTTATGATTCAGTGAAACCATTAAGAACATAGTTCTTTCATGCTGCTTCATCTAACGACATCACCAACGCAGTTTTCGGGAAGGAATATATTTCTAAATGGAGCTATTTTTCAGCATGAATGAAGCCATTTTACAGACATTTGTGGTCCCAGCTTATTTCCAACTAAACCAGAGTTTTGAAGTCTAATTAACATAGCCTTGAAGCATTGCATCTCTACCTTAAATTTTTTTACTTTGATTTCTGTGACATTAAAATGTCATTACATACCTCTATCTGACATATTTCTCTTCATTTGAATGCCTGCTTATTTTTTGATGTAAAATCACAGAAGAATGGAAAATACTTGTTAGTTGTGTTAAATTGGAGCTTGTTTCTTCCTGTGTTTGCTCTAGTACAGTGATTATATTCATTTTCTGTTGGTTACTATGTTAAAAGTGCTCACAGTATGTTGGTGTATTTGGAGATGTTCTGTGATTGTTACATTGATTTATCTTACAGCGGGGAAGGGAGCACAATGCAGCTTCAACTGGCAAGGTGTCTTTCATTATACAGAGGAAAATAATGCACTCATTAACTGAGGACCATGAATGAAAACACTTACAGGTGTGATCAAAAAGTAGTGCTCTGTTCTTGTGAAATAATTCACTGTAGTCAGTGGCAGCAGAACAGAGTCCCAAAGCTCATAAATGAAAATAAATACATAAAAGACGTCGGTTTGCAGTCTTCAGTATTACAATGCTTCTGGATTCTCTGGAGGTGCTGAGAAGTAAAAGGAATTGAAGTTCATTAAAGAGGTAATTAAATTTAATGGCAGAATTGCAACATAAAATTAGGCAGCAAAAGTGGTGAAAACTCTTGATGCCATTGCTGTGCTGACAAAACTGGATGTTTGCTAGCAGGGTGAATTACAGCGTCTAATGGTAGGCAGATGGTTTGGTAAAAAGGAAAAATACATTCACATCAAGTTTACCAGGTGTATCAAAAATTCTATGTTTCTGCCTGTCTGTCATGCCTGGCTAATATATGTTTATTCCTTTGTGCATTTTGTATTACTGTACTACTTGACCCAAATTAATTTGAAAAGAACTAATTCAAACTTGGAGCTGAATTTTATTTTTTATTTTTTTATGAGCTTTGATCTGTTGCAGTATAAAGAATAAATTTCCATAGCAGAGTTTTTGTGGACCTGCTTTTAGAGGGCTGTGCATCTCCTCCTCTGTGACTGTGAAATTGCAGGATGGCATACGGATGATGCCTTTAATTACTTCCCATGAATTAAACTACTTTTACCTATCAGAATCTGTTGAATAAGAAAGATTTCACATATGCTTCATTTCTATTCATACAACAATGAAAGTAAAGGTTGGTGATATCATACATTTATATATCATGCCACACTTACTCTAACTTTCAGAATCTTTCAGCAAAAGAATAGTGACAGGTGACTTTTCATGTTTATCATGCCATCTCCCTTTGTCCTGTAAATACTTGAAGTGATAATAATGAAACATAGCACTGTACAGGCAGTTGCTTAGAAATGTAAAAAAAAAGTCTTTTGTAACAGCATCATTTTACTTCAAATATGTTCTGCAGGTCAGATTTTGCAAAATTGAGTAGTAAAAATCTCAGGTGTATTTTTGGTTTTAAATTAATATCTGGGTGCTTACATATGTCTTAACTGAAGATACATTTTTTTGTTCTTTTCAATATTTTAAGTATCACAACACTCTCTTAAAGAGCAATCAGATACTAATTTTCTGTTTATAAAATTTAGAGCAGTGTACGAGGACTGTTTCTAATTTACAGTGAAGAAGAACACTGGAGTAAAAAAGAAGAAAAACAAAAATCCTTCCTAATATGTAGAATCCCACCAAATATCACTTTAATTGTCTTCCTCAAAAATACTAGCTCAGGGGTGAGGCATAGGTCTCATTCATTAGTTTGCAAGTATTTGCAGAGAATTGTGGATTTGCAGATTGATGTGTGCACAGATGTGGTTCTCTTCCAACAGCTTTGTCCAGAGTATACCCACTACTTGTCTGGAATCACTGGAACAGATGAGCAGCTTTTTCAAAAGGCAAACAGTTTTGTAATAAAAATCCTCAGAGTGAGAAGGATATATGTTTTGGCTGTATTTTCAAGAATACAAGGTAGAAGAATATTGAGAGTTACTTGCCTGCATCCAGAACTTTCTGGATCTGATTTGATGCCGGACCGCTGTTGCTGCTGGGAGAAACAGAGGCTATTTTTATCCTGATGTATAATTGCAGTGGTTCCAGATTTTCTTTGGCAAATAATAGCCCTTTTCAGAACTACTTACTGATGAGCCACCAAATCTTTGGAAGCTTGTTAAGACAGTCTCTTGTGTTTGCTGCTTCTTAATTTTTTTGGCTACCACTGATATTAATCTTATGCAACAATTTGAACAATTATTTCCTTTAATGTTTGAGCTGTAATTTCCTTTAATGACTTGAGCTGTAAGAAATTTGGATCAATGTATTTTCTGTGCTCAGAATCTAATCTGAAATTTTGCCTAAATGTAGCATACACGGGCATAGCAACTGCAGTGATCTCTCAAGTGTTTTGGACATAGACCTTGTTGAGTTTTGCTGAATTTCTGGATTTTTTCCATAATTCCTAGATCCCGGCACTGGACTATATCCATTTGTTTTGTTTGTATGGTTGTCAGCTGCAATCTGTTATAAAGCCTTGAGAGAACCTTCTTGGTTCTGCTCTTTAAGATAATTAAACCAAGGAAAACCTAATTAAGGTAACACTGGATCATTTGGTCTAACCCTTAAAGCTCTTATGGCTGCTTGCTGATGCAAGCTGTGCAGAGAGTGATCGCCCTGCTGATAATACCAATTGTTGGTCTTGTCCATCTCTCTACCACCAGTGTAATTCACTGTCTGTGTGACTTTTGGCTTTAGCTTATTTTTGAAAATATAGGGAGTGTTGGCTTCTGTTTGAAGTCTAAGTATTTTAATTACATGTTGAATAATTTACATTAATACACACAGTAGCTTGCTGAGCACATTTTTTTTGCTTCTCAGTTTATTATTGTTATTATTGAATTAAATATAATTTCAGTTAACTATTTACAACTACTCTTCTAGAGTAATAGAATAGTAATAGAATTCTAGAAACTTAACAATAATATTGAAACATTAATATTGAAAATTTGTTAAGAAAAATACGTGGTTAGGGTGTGACCATTTAGCTTGTGTTGGTTTAATACTGAGTTTTATTTTAGGTAGGTGAAGACAATACTGTGTCTTCTGGAAATGACACTGGTTAGTTTTTTATTGTTTTTATTTTTAGTTTTTTATTTTGTTCATTTTTTCAAACAATTCTTTAATGGTAGAATTAGAAAAAAGTCATGCAAGGAAGAATGACAAAGGTAGTTTTTGACCTTTCCACCGAGATCATATCTGTATTTTTTAATTGAAAAACATAATTAAGGTAGTTTAGTGATTTCTATAATTAATATTGAATTTGGATCTGAATTGCATAGCCACGTTATACAAAACACTGTGTATCACTATTTAGTTTTGAGCCTAGTTATTATTTAACAGGAAAATGTTCTACACTTATTTGGAAATTCACCATTTTTCACCAGTTTCTATGGAAAGGAAAACTGGAAGTTAGTTCAATTTCAAGACAGCCACAGACATGCACACACCTCATACCTCCAGACCCTCCATCTTGTGTATTGTAACATCCCCACCCCCTCTCCTGTCCCCACTGACACCCCAAATGGTACACTGCCTGCATTTGTTATGTATCATTCATTTGTTTTGTTCTTATTGTTATTATCATATTCGTTCCATTATGTTTAATGCTGTTTTTATTATTATTTTTTATTGTTTTTATTATTTTACTTTGTCCTTATGTGTTTTATTTATTATTAATTTGTTTTTCACTCACATATTCCAAACTCCCACACAGCATTCTTCTGATGGTTGCAGTCTTCTCCTACTCAGTACAATACTGGAAGTAATGTCCACTGGTGCATCAGTTCTTACCTCTCTATCACTAATTCAGAAGAAACCTAGCTTTATGTTAGCTCTAAATTTTGGTTTTACATTCTGAGCAACAAAATGCTCTTGAGCTCTGAAGTCAACCTCCAAAGTTTGATCTGGCATGGAGTGACTGTGAGAATGTTCTTTGTAGTGTTCATAGCATAGTCAGACTTTATTTTAGAAATGTGGTCAAAAGAAAATAATTTTAATTATGCAAAAGGAAGATAAGCTAGCAGGTAGCAGCAGAAGGGAAATGCAGTCATGCTACATTCACTGGTTTGAGCAGTAGGGACAGAAGGATCCCAGGAAAGACTGCTTAGCTACAACCCTGATCAATGCCAACATCTTGAAAGGGGTTAGCAGAGTGTCAGGAAATGTGTTCATAATAGAACCTTATTCTTCGGAGTGATTTGTGGGCAAATACTATTTTATGTACTACCAAGCTTCAAAACAAAACAAAACAAATAAAAGACAATGTGTGTGTGTGTGTTCTCATCTCATCCACAGAGGGGGCAAAGGTTGTGGAAAAACATTTGAATATCAGTTATTCCACAGCCTTTAGAAATCTAAAGCAGTTAATACCAGGAGTCTGAATCACTGCTGTTGAGTCTTAACTTGTAAGACTGTCGCAGCAAGTACTGAAACAGGCATTGAGTAATAAATTTTTTGAGACTCAAGATAAAATTGCAGTAACATACCATATTATTAGTTTCTCCATGATCATTTATAACTTCAGTGAGTTTAAGTCTTGGCACACATTTTTTTATAAATATCAGATTTATTGGCTACAGCAATGTCTGTCAGTGGCATTCACAATTGGTAAAATTCTGCACTTGTAAGTTGTGTGGGGTTTAATTTCTGAGTGAGGCTTGAGTCCCTATGCCAGAGAATCTCACTGTGTTACATCTGTTACATAACTGGCTCTTTGAACTTAGAAGGGCTTATGTCATAACTGCAACAAGTGGGTTTTTTCTGATAGCAATGTGACACAATGCACTTCATGGGTCATTATACAAATCCAGGTACTGGAGAAACCACTGATCTATTTATTGATAATTGTGTTTCACTCCATCTTTGCTCATTTCCTGTATGATATGCTGGGCCCAGTCAAATTCTCTATGCACCTTTTCCTTCACTCTGCATGATACACAGATATACTTCCAAGAAATGTTTACTGCTCTCCCAAGAAATTTTACAGTTTAGAAACAGTCTAATAGATGCCATGTTCAATTCATCAATAAAAGTGGAAAAGAATGTAAAGTTTTAGAAAAAATATGTCCATTTCAATAATGGAATGCTTTAATTAAGTAGGTTGAGAGGTCCATTTGTTTCATTATTGCTTTAAGCCTGTGACACCCCCAGGATTTGGGGGGTACCTTAGCCTAAGCTAATATGATAATATTTTTTTGGCTCACTAATGGAAGTAGTAGGCACGTACTACTGAAGTAAATAAAATATTTTTAATTTCCTCACAGGGACATGGTGAACCCCCTTTTTAATCTGAATTATAATTTTTGAGCACTATTATAGCATTGTAATGTTAGAAACAATAGTCCTGATTGTAAACACCGAACTGTGGAGAGCCTTTGACTTCATAATTAATTGAAAAATTGATATATCAAGAGGCTGGTACATGAGAATTCTCTGAGTATCTTTTGTTTCTGAGCTGCTGTTCTTATACATACATCGTTACTTTTGGGGGCAGAAGGTCAGAGTTTTTGCTGCAGTGTTTAGTGATTTGTCTTTATCAAGTTGTTGTTTGTTAGGAAAGATCTGAAATCTTAACAGTGACAGTATGTGACTTCCATGTGTAAAAGGACACTTTCATAGATATGACACAGTCTGATATAAGAGATGACATCTTTCTGTGTATTTACTGTTCCTCCTGTTCCTCTGTTGCAGTGCGGTTGGCACGTTTGCTCGAGCCTTGGACTGCAGTAGTTCTGTCAGGCAACCCAGTTTACATATGAGTGCTGCTGCTGCTTCCCGAGACATCACACTGGTAGGTGGCTTCTTAAACATCCTACAACTTCTATCTCCATGAATTCAACACTATCTGGTACTCCAAAGTCCCAGTTATCTGCCTGTTGTCCTTTAGATACCTCCATGCAAGGTGTGTGGGTGTGTGTGTTAGAAAATCTGTCCATTTTGCCTTCTCAGTGTTGCCCTTGTAGTCACACTGCAACACTTGGCTTTAGTTGAGGATCACCCACAGCTGTGGATACCCACAGAAGAGTGGCAGAATGGATAATACATATTGTATAGGGATTATTATGGCAGTGCCATTTAAAGTATGTGGTAATAAAGCTGATTGAAAATTGTGTGGATAATACTTTGTACTTACTGCATGTATATGCCATCAAATTTTCTAAAGGATAAGCAATATGACTTTGTAAGCATATTTTTAAAGAACATTTAAACTATTCCTACTGTTTCCTTAGTATGCTGTTCACTCTTAATGTAAGCACCTGCATCTCTTAGAGAAAGTGAAAGATACATTGATCACATACATATACAGGTTTGTTCCTGTATAGTCGTATGAGATGAGAAGCTGTGCTACAGTAAATAAAGTATGCCAGGACCACTGTGTGAGACTAAAAATATTACTGTTTCATAGAACCAAGTTTGACTTAGATTTCCAAAGACATCCACTGTTGCTTTACTATTCTAGGTATTTTTGTACCTAAACACTGATGTGTAGTTTAGGCTAAGGAAGACCTGCTCTTTACTAGATACCGGAGTATTAGAATTAGAGGAAACTCAATAAAACTAACAGATTAGTTTAAAATAATTAAGGCACTGACTTACAAAATGAATAGAGAGCCCCTAGAACTCGCACAAAATTTTGTGGGAATGGGCAGTATCAGCAGGTTAAAAAATGGTTATAAAAATTATCTAGCCATATAGGCCATAAATTAGTGGTGAGGAGAAAAGGGAAATATGTACTTTCTAAATATCTTAATTCTTAAGCTTTGTAGATGCTATTCAGTGAAATGGGAATTGACCTCAGACTGTGATTAGTTTTACCTGAATATTTCAGCTAGTATTTCTTGGTGCTGCTGTAAGACACACATTGCATAGTTACATGATTGCTCTGAATAAGTGGGACAAATCTTGTATTCCAGATAAAATAAATTTTTTATTATGATGAGAAAAATATTTAATTTATAACCTTTTGCAGTGTACTCAAAGGCTATTGAACAGGACACTGATTTCATCTGGACTATGATAGCATCATAAAGGCAGGAACAAATGCAATGTTTCCAGTAATACTTAAAATGAATTTTTTGTTTCACAGTTGCTAATATGGCTTTTACAAACAATTCTGTTCACATTCAATTCTTTTTTTTGTTCATCAAAATAGTTCTTTAACATTTTTCATTTTATTAATATTTTGTTGGATTGAGAATTTCTAATAAATTTCACATATTACATATCCCTTCTTTATTTGCATACTGTATTCAGTGATTAATAGAGTGGATTTATCCTTATGGCAATTTCACATTTGAAAGTACATGTGCAATCTGCTAATAAAGGGGTACTTTGTTTGAGTGCCATGTTAATGTTTCTCCATTGCAAATGATCCATTAAGTTCCATTACACTTAATGAAAGGCATATCTTGTAATGAGGCATCAGAGGAACCACCCTAGAGTTAATTATTGTGTCTGTCTCTTCTCATTTTCCTACCCCCTCAGCTTTCTAAAACCCTACTTTTTTGCTTTTTGGCAGTATACTTCCTTCTAAGTTAAGAAAAGACATATTTGTCATTATAATAGTAACTTTTTAGACATTTCCATGTTAATTGGGAGCATATTTTCAGCAGCAGTTAAAGTTAGTGGAGAGATTTGCAGAACTTGTGATGTGTCTCATTTATACTTTGGATATAGGTGCATAACACTAAGAAAATGATACCATCTATCTTCTTAATGCAAGGCAGATAAGCCTTGCACCTGAGGTGCTATTAATGGGATTTCAGTACACCACACCTGTGGCTTTCCTGTGTTCTTAATTAAGTTTTAATCCTAATTAGTTTTAATCACAGATAACTGCAAACAGACTGATATTAAAAAAAAAAAAAAAAAAGAAAAAGCTTGGATTATAATGATAAATTCAGGGTTGATGTACACATTTCTTGCAGATGAATAACAACTGAGAGGCTGCTTGCAGGCTCCTTTATTTTGAAAACATAGGGAAGATAATGAGACAAGATAGGAAACCCCCTGCTTTTAGACAACCCTACTAAAGACAACAAACAATGTATGTTTACCTTCTTAGATGATAAAAAATGTGCTTCTCTTGCAGTGGTAAAGACTTGTATGAGAATCACCTAAAAGTTGTGTTTCTGGTCTTCTCGAAGGCAGTGTTTTATTTTATAATGAAAATTGGTTTCTAAGAAGAGAAAGACTGGGAAGACCTTCTGTTTCAGAAGTATTTCATAGTGCATATCCTGACCATGAGAGCCATTTAAAGCAAAGCAGGTTGTTGGAATCACTTGGTCCTTGTGGTGGGCTTGTTTAGAAGAGCTTATGTGACTTTACTGTAGGGACCTAAATTGCATACTGGATGTCTTTTCAAAATGAAAAGTATGAACAGTCTTTTCCTTTGCATATTGAATGGTGTCTTTTTAATGATTTTATTAGACTTCCATATATGTGTCTCCTAAGATAAACATGCTTAAAATATGATTGAATTGGAGAATCCACACACGGTTTCCACTTTGAGTGCTTTGCTGGGGGCAGTTCAGTCTGAAATTGCAGCTACTTTGGAAGCTGTGTTGTGTAGCTGATTGCAGGATGCCCTCTCTTCCAGTTCCATGCAGCCCTTCCTTAGCTTTTGGTGGAAAGTTTCTTCCTCTGCCTGCTTATATTTGGACTTGAAGTTGCCACTTATTGTCATGGCTAGTAATTTTTCTCTGATGGGCCCCCATGTCTGTGCTGGACAGCATGCTCTGGGCAAGAGTTTGTAGGGAAGGGTGGAAATTTGATGCAGTTCAGGGCTGACAAACCTGTAGAAGGCAGAGTGGTTATCAAAGAATTTGTCAGTGGTCTTGTGTTACAGGACAGCTCAGCAAAGACAGCACTCACCCACTGAGTTCATAATGAATCTTTTCTTTAGTAATATTAAAAAAAGCATTATGGAGTTAGATGTTTATTATAGATGAAAAATTAACGTAAAGCAAGAGCAAGATTCTGATGTATTGACTTCTCTTGTCATTTTTATGAAGGTTGGTAACAGTGAATAGATTCAGCATCTGCTTGAAAGATGCCCTGTGTATACTGCTTTTCTATGAGGGGTGCAATTTAAACAAAGATTTAAACCTCAGTAACACATCTACTGTAGGAGTTCAGTCTTTAGACCTGGCTTACTCATTGCCTGAATGGTAAATAATAAATCAGTGATTTCATTGTACGTCTCTAATATGAAGCTGGTGGATTTTAGGCATTATGTTACATATTTTCATATTAGAATACTTGATCTTAATAATGCCTTTTCTCCAGGCTGGTGAATTTGATTGAACCATTGCAGGATAATAGTGACATTGCTTCTTGAAGACAAAACAATTACAGAATCTGGTGCTTGATAGCACTCAAAGACTTAAAATAAACACTGGAGAAAGACAATAGTCATTGACAGAAGATGGCAAAAAACAAGAGAAATCCATTATTTGCAGTAGTTTTGTATGCAGAAGCTCAGCTGGAATTGCTGTACTGACACAATGCAGGAGTGTTCCCTCCTTGCAATGTTTTCTCATAGCTGGGTTTGTGAGAGTTTGCATGGTACGCTTGGAGCTCAGCACTGTGGTGGGACACATTGGAAGGAGACTGATACAGAGTCACAAACATCAATACACTTATAACTCTCATGCCTCCTTCAGCACAGCCAGTTGGATTGTGCTGATGGGGTCTTTTGGGACGCTGAGTCAGAAATGCTTCTTGTGTGCTGCTCATTTTCCTGACAGGTGGATTTGTTAACTTTTCATATTCCCCATCATTGGTTAGCAATTGGGAGCATTCATTGTTACCTACAGTGGGAAGATTGTTCTAATTGTTTTTTTGTCTTTCTTTTTTATAATAACAGAAAGGGAATCAGCCAAAGAAACCTTATTTAGGAGTCTGTGATAACAGTGTTTAGCGAGAGACAAAAATCTTGCTGCTCTTTCAGTATGATGATAATGAAAACAATAAATGTCTTCCTTTGCCAGCACTGAGGATATTGAGCTCATAGATGTCTGAGCAGCAGTTTAGTCACTATTTAGGGCTTCTATTAATTGAAAATGGCCCCAAAGTCAATTTATGCCACTGTCTTTATTGGGTTTCTTGGAACCAATTTTTACCAATAAGAGATTCTTTAGAAATGTTTGCTAGTACTAATAAACTAATGTTGTTTTTGGTAAACATTTTACCAAGGTATTTCCTTTCCCAGATAAAATAATAAACCATTTATTTTCCTCATATTCCGCAGCAGAAAGCTATGATATCAAGATAGATTCTAAATTTAGTGTTAATTGAGGCTCCTTGCTTGGTTTATAGAGAATAATATATTGAATTTGCATTAACTGAGATGGACTACTGTGTATTTAAACACATCTTTATTCTCTCCTTGTCTCTGCCAGTTTCATGCAATGGACACACTGCATAAACACAACTATGATCTGAGCAGTGCCATCAGTGTTCTAGTGCCACTGGGAGGGCCTGTCTTGTGTAGAGATGAAATGGAAGAGTGGTCAGCATCAGAAGCTAGTTTATTTGAAGAGGCTTTGGAAAAGTATGGCAAGGACTTCAATGACATTCGACAAGACTTTGTAAGTATGAAAGTAGTACCCTTTCCTGTAGCTATGTGTTGCCATGGCTGAGCATAGCTGCTTTCTGTAGGTTTGGAAGGTTTAGCTAGGGGAGAAATCTGTGTAGCTGATACATGTGATTAACATATCAATACATTTTATTTGGCTGAAAGTCAATATCCTTTCTTGTTCAATGCTAGTTTTTGGAAAGATGGTGACAGAAGAGAATCTGTTTATTGGTTGAATATCAGGTAGGATGTCTCATGCTAAGATGTGCTGATAAGGATTTGAACAAGGCTCTAACAAGCATCTGAAAAAGGTCCAGGAACTTTGCAGAGTGTTTCCACAATTTCCAGTGAAATTCATTAGCAGCTACATGACTGACTCCCCTGGGTGTTTTTGGAAAGCTGGGGTTTCCTGCTATGGTTAGCAGATAGAAATTTGTATTCAGATAGCTTTTAAAATGTACTCCAGGGAGTTGTTTTGACATATTAGATGTTTTGGCAGTTCTGAAAAGTAAAAGAAATGTTTTCCAATATGTTCTAACTATAATAATTTTGTACTGAAGTATCAGACTATAGGGCAGTAAACCTTTAATTTGCTAATTCTAATGCAGAGTAATGAAATTAAATGGATTCTAACACTGATTGCTGGAATTGCTAGTAATTTGCTGCAATTTTATTTTTTTTGCATTTTATGGAGAGCCCTTTTCTTTCAAGGAAAAATATTTCCTCCGTTGTACCATGTTCAAGTTGGGCTTCATGAAAAAGTTAAGATTTGAACCAAAGGATTTCCATTATTTATGACTGAAGTAATTTTCACATTAATCTCATTCTGCTTGACTCTGAGAGCTCAGATTATTTTGCTTTCTTTGCAGAAGTTTTCCCCCTCCCTCCTCCTTTGTGAGGGGAAAAAAGGTACTGTGTGGTAAATGTACAAGTCCTTCCAAGATAGAGTGCAGGACAGTGGGAGGAGGCTTGGCAATGAGCTGAGCTGTCTTTCCTTCATTTTCATAGACTTGAAATGGAACAGGTAATTGAATGAAGGTGGGAAGGGAAGGCTATTGTTTTTCTAAAGAACTGACATTTTAATAGGTGTATTATATCTGCATGCTTAATTTTGAGATTCCTAAGGGAGAAAATGTTCACTGTATTCATGACATAAGGTTGAAAGTTTCATCCTGGCTGAAACGGCTCTTTTAAGTTCAAGAAAATATTATTGAAAAATAATATTTATAAATTTTTTAGAACAGAAATCTCAATGTAAACTACATTCCTCATTATTTCTTATAGAGACAAGTGGTTCTCATTTGTAATTGTATAATAGTTCAGGAGCTATGTCTTCTAATTAAACGGTTCCTAATATATAATATTTGTCTTTTGAAAATGCCTTAAGCATATAACATGTTTTATTGGCTGTTTACAAGTTCTGTCCTAACACAATTTGTGAACAAGTATGCAGAAGCCTTGTGTCTGGTATTTATGTAGTATTTTTATTTTCTGTGTAATTTCTGTTTTATCTACTACTACATTAAAGTGAAGCAGTGTAGTAACATGTTGCAAGAATTGCTTCTGCATTTGTAATATTCAAATTATAGATACTTGAATGACTTTTCTAGAAGCTGTTTATAGTGTTCAATACCCTGATAAAATTTTTGTCCTGATACCCTCCCTCTTTCACTAAATATTCCTTCTCAATATGCAGCTTTTTTCCCCTGGTCTCCTCCCAAAGCATGAGACATACACAGATCTGGTGATAGAATTGTGTAGCCTGCTGAGGGCACCTTAACCATGAGTCAGAGTGCAGCACAAATGGATGTGGGAAACTAATTAATTATAGCTTAATTTAGTTAAATTATCAGGGATATTATCTATTCTTAGTTGCTTTTTCTTTTAATCTTTGGAAAAGTGTAATTTTAAAAACATCCTTAGAAGAACATCTTTTTTATATCTCAGTTTATATGATACTAAGAACAGTGCACGGTCTTTAATTCTATGTAATTTGAAATCTTTCAATTATGTTAGTCATTGTGTAGTCTTGGGATATCTTAATTTCTGTAGTGTAAAATTTATGTGTTCTCACTTGCAATGTAGCATTCTAAAAGTGCAGGGATTTGAAAACAAACATTTGCTTTTTAAGTAATCATGGAAAATAGTCCTTCGAGATTTAGCTCACAGATATGTGAAAAGTTTCTGCAAGGTGAGGTAGGTATAAAAGGTATAAATATGTAGCATGTAAGCAGTGGTTTTCCACAGTAATACTTTTTCCTGTTATCTGAGCCGCTGATAAGTTTACTTATTGATAAATATCTAAGTACTCTTAGATGTGTTGTAAGAGCAAGGGCAAAGAAGATAATGAGCTGATAGTATGTGTGAACTTCAGGTTCAGGTCTATTTTATCATTAGGATCTAATGATAAAATAAAAGTCTGCAGTGCCTGAGGTTAAACTGCAACCTGAGCAGTCACACAGAGGTGCCACACAGGACAGGCAAGAAAGTCACGTTGTGTGGCAGAAAGGGGTTGGTAGCAGTCTCCTGAAGCAGCAGGGTGATGTAGTACCTGCCTGAGTCATTGCATCCTAGAGGAGCTGCCTTTTCTAAGTCGGCCCAGATTTGCAGGGCACAGCAGCTGCAATTGCAGCCCTTACATGACAGCTCTGTAAAGGGCAGATTCATTTACTTTTCCAGCAGTTACTGTGAACTGCCACTGTTTGATGTTCAAAGTGCAGCTCAAGTATTAAGCTTCAGACACTAAATATTAGTAAACAAGATTGTTATAAATGAAATGGTGTCTTTACCTTTTTTTTCATAGATAGGAGATGCTCATTTGTAATCAAGTTACCAATCTAGCTCTTGAATAATTATTTTCATCATCTGTTGACTCACTGATTCTTGTAGGAGAGGTTCTTGTATCTTTAAGACTCTGTGTGAATCCTAATCAAGTTAAACCTTATAAGCTCATCCAATTTACTTGATGTGCTTGAATTATTTCACATCCCAGAGTGGCAGAATGGAAAAAAAATGGATATTTTATGATCTCCAAATGCAACTATTTTCCTAACAATAAGACCAAGATGTTATACTTGTTAATTCTTAGGTTTTTTTTATCAACTATTTTCACAAAATTTTAACTATTACATCTCAGATATGGCAGGAAAGGCCTTGATAACCAAGAATGGGAACTGTTTATAGAAAGCAGGAGCAACTATTTTCCAGCTTTAGAAAATTATGAAAACATGCCTTAAAATTTCCATGCTCATTTTAGGATGCTTTATAATACCAAATTTTTCTTGCTGATCTGATTTTATTGGTCTGTTTTCAGCCTAGAGAAACTAAAGAAACTTAAAATTCCCCTCTCTGTTTTTATAGAGTTGTTAGCTTTTGCTTATTTTCTCCTGCTAAAATGTTATGCAGATGAGTATATTTTTTTTTTCTTTCAAGAACAGAATTTGGTAATGACAATGTTATTCCATGGCTGCTCACAGCTTCACTGGCAGTTCAAATACATAGGTAAATGGAATACAGGTTATCCATACTTAGGCAGCTTTTCCAAAGTTTGAATCAAAGTGTAAAAGGATTACAGTTATTTTGTCCAAGCTTCTTAATTACCTTCCTTTAATTGTAGAGCCTACTGAGTGAATGAACGCACTGGAGTCGCAGCCAAAATTAAAACAGATTAAAATATTTTCTAGAGAAATGGCAAACATTTGTAGCATAAATGTGCTAATAAGTATTCAGGAAGGAAAATAAATATGAATATGCTAAAATGCACTAATTGACAATGACAGATGGTTGGGGTGAAAGCATTTCACCTGCATGCCAGAAGGAATATAGACCTGGAGACTGAGAATCATTACATTGTCCTCTCACACCAAACACATCTTGTCACTGGCCTTTTTGCGGGAAGATTTCTCTCAAGGCATAATTTACCTGAGAAAGCAAAAGGATTTTAGGAACCTGAATTGTATTACTACTTATTGGGACATCAGCATATGCATTTCATACACTGCTACTTTTGGATCAAATGTAAATGTTCAGGGGTTCACACACAGTGTGGTGCACTTCTGACTCGGACCCTGAATCAGGCAGCTTGAAAACCTACTGAGCTTCTGCATGCAGGGAGAGGCAGTTTGAGAAGGTCTTCCTCTGGTGTTTCAGGCACGTAACTAAAGGTGTGGGAAACTAGTCTTTTGGAATGAGACATGCAAAAAGCTGCCTAGTGGGGTCAGTAAGGTTGGAAAGATCAGTTTCCACACCTGTATTTTCTGCAACCTCCTAAACGTTATCCTCACTTCTAGAAAGCAGATAATATTTGCATTAATGCATACCTCTAGAAAATAAAACACACAAATTAGTGACGTTTTCAAGTTATGAAGAAAAATTGCATGAATTTTGGGTGAGACATCCTAATTTAAATTATAGAAAGATCTTGTGGAGTTAAATAAATTATTTGGTGATAATTAGAAATGATTGCCTAATTTTCTCCCCTACACTTAGGTTAACTCATTTTTATTTTACTGATGAACATGGGAATCCAAAATATTTGTCGTTATCAAAGGTATCTTGTTTGTACAGAGATGTTTATGAAATATTTATTGTCAGTATCGCTCTTGTTGCTCAGGGTAACATTTGTCCTTCGCATCCTTTTGTTTCTTGATAATTGTTGAGAGCATGTGGGAGTTTATGTAAAACTGGTGGTAGTGTATGAGCAGCTGAGTTGTTACAGGACATAAAAAATCTGTGAACTAAGGATGGTATCCTTTGTATTTTTTAAGAGTAAAATTATCACGAGACTCGAGCACAGTCTTGTCAAGATGATTTTTTTGAGTCCTAATGTTATTCTCCATCTGACACTCTATTATAGAGATATTACCTCCTGTGTTTCCTGATGGAAACCTGCATTCTGTTTTGATCAATTTTTTTAACTATAGGGCTTAAACAGAATAAATTACATTTAGATTTGGATGTGTGATACCATAATATTTGTTAACTATAAGGAAAGACTGTGTATTAGTAATTGCAATATTGTTTGTTTGCATATGAATTCTAATGCAGTTATTTAATGCATTCAGGTTCTAGTATTTGTCTCAACTATACTTGATTTTAACATGTGTTTAACAAGAAGTGGACATTGCAATTTCTTGGAATCATTTTAACTTTTAACAAATGTTTTTCAGCTCCCTTGGAAGTCTCTGACTAGCATCATTGAGTATTACTACATGTGGAAAACCACTGACAGATATGTGCAGCAGGTAATTTAATGACTATTTCAGAATGAACCAGGCTGAAACATTATTTCAAAGAAGTGATCTTGTTAAAGCATAAAAATCTGTTTGTGTTCTTGAAAAGATATATAATGGGAGGCCTAAGGTAATATTTTGGGGTATAGATCAGTGGTTCTATGCTGTAATTGGTTCTAGGCTGCATTGTTGAATCCTCTGATGCCTGCTGTGCATCCCATATCTGTGAAGAGCTTTTTAACCTATTTGTATTGTATGCTGTGTAACTCTTTTAAAAATTCTTTTTTGTTTCTTTTTTCTCTCTCAATTCTGCTGCAGTGCTTCTTCTGCACTTTTTTTCACTCCTGGATTTCTCAGCTTCTCTGAGCTGAGGTCTCTCCAGACTTTCTGCACAAGTTCAATTCACTGCAGTCTGGCCCATTTCTTTCTGATGGTACAAAATGGCCTTGTGGCTCACTTTGGCCTTTGAAGATACAAAATGGCCCTGAACTACACAGTTCTTTTGTCTTTATACGCATTCTTATCCAATTAACAATAGACACGTATATTATTTTTCTTAATGACCCATCACCTGTGTGCTGCACTGTGGCATTTTCTAACCAATCACTTCCTATTACCCAAAAACCTCTAGAAGAAGAACATGAAGAAGAAAGAAGGAAAAGAAACAGCATTCTAAATCCTCCATCTTGTCTTCTGCTTTCTAAACTAACTTAAACTCTAAACTTTAACTTTTTCACCCAGTGACCTAAGAATCTCTCTAATTTACACACTCACACTTTTAGCTTTTTTTATCTAACTTTAAGAGTTGTTTTCATGTATCACCATGAAAACATGCCCATAAATTTCATACTGTATGGAATTCAGTGTTCTTCTGGATTTCAGAGTTAGGTATCAGAAACAAGTGCACACACTGTGTCTCAGACTCCAACACGCTGGTTTGAAGCAATAGGATTACTTCCAGGAAGGGAAGGAAGAGGTTCCTCCTTCACGAGGGAATCAGATGGAAATGGGCTGACAAGCAAATGCTTTAGGCTGTGAAGCTCTGTCGTGGGAAATATACATTGTGTTAAAGTGGCTGCTGGTGTTACAAACCTTTCCTTGGTACTTCTGGACAAAATGTTACTTTGGCATTGCCAGCATTTCAAAATTGAGATAATTCTGCCCACAGTGGATGTGTTCATCCTTCTGATGGAATGTTCAACTATTTGAGTTGCTGTGGGGCAAAAAACATGTTAAAATTATATTGGATACCAATACCAGGATATTTTTAGCAGGTTTAGGCAAAATGTCAGTGTTGGTACTTTCTGTATACTGTACTCTTTATATATTTACTCCTTGATTTAGACATAAAATGGCAGTTTCCCGTGTTTCTTTCAGGCTGAAAACTAATTCTATATTGTTGGATATAATATGAAAATGAATGAGAGACAGTTGTAGAAAACCTGTGTCCTGCTGTTAAGCAGAGGGAGTTCACCTTTGAGAGCTCCTCTGCTGGGGCTGTGAAATGTTCTCAGATTAAAAACTACCAGTTTATGGGACTTGGAGCATGGTGCTGCTGCTGTTCTTTCTCCTTGCTCTTGTAAAAACTGACCCAAGTAGGCAGAGCAGACTATGTTTGCATTTTTCTCTGGGCCTCCTGACGGTAGAGCAGTGTTGCCAAGCGTGGCACTGGGGAAAGATTGCAACTATACCAGCAGTGTCAATTCACTTCTATAGCTCCAAACAACTTGGCATCTGTGAACAGCAAAAAGCTGTAAGGAAAAAAACTGTTTTGGAGATAAATGGAAAAGAGATCTCATATTGCATGGGAATTAATTAATGGTGGCATGGACTGATTAGAAGTCTATTTGTTACACATTAGTCCTTAAAAATACAGATTTTTATAAGTAATTCTGCAATTTTTATAAATGGACAACATAGAGGCAACTTAATGAAATGGAAAAGAACAGCTGTTTAGGAGATTTAGTCAGACTGCTGGGCCAGTAAAGTTGAATAACCCTGTAACTCACCTTTTGGCTCACCTTTTGACTCTCAGAGCAGAGTCATTTAATAATAGTTTTCTCAAGGTGGGAAATATCTTCCTGGATTATAAACGTTGCAAAGGTTGGATATGAAAAAATTGGTGTACAGCAGAGAGGAGAAGTGGCTATTGTAGGTGAAATGAAGGACTGATCACACAATAACAACAGGTAGTACTGATTTATTATTGCTGCATATAAATGTGTCCCCTCCTTTTTTTTATTCTCTGTAATGAAATTGACTGTGTTTCAAATCCTTTTCTCCTGTCTTTTTCTTTTTTTCTCTCAAGTGAACAGAAGTAATGTCTTGTACAGAAAGTGCAGGGAAATAATGCTTTTCTTCATCTTTTACATACAAATGTTTTGCATAACCTGTAGACACCTGAACTCTGCATTTCTTGTGCCACTGCTGAAAAAAACTGTTGTCTTAGTTATGTGTATAATAGATGGCAATAACTAAAACTTCTCTATATTATAGAAAGGCAAAATGGTTTGAGTTTGTTGCAAATATGAAGAAAGTAATGATTTAGTCAATTCACAGACTGTCTCAACAGTAGTATAGCTGTTCTGTTACTGGGATGTTCCTGAGCCACGTTTCTGATGGCATTTAATGCTAGTAAGTGTTCAGTTATCTCTAAGAGCCAGTGGACTTTATTGTTACTTGTACTGTGTTATAAAAGCTCAACCTCACTCTGGACAGAGCAAACAAGAAATTTTGTTACATGACTAATAAGGAACACAACTTCATTAATTTAGTTTCTACATAATTCTGCAATGAGAGGTAGCCACAATGTCATACATATTTATATAGATGTAATTTATGTAAACTGTTACTGTCATTTTTACAGTTTTATTATCATATGTGAGGACTGTGAGTTTTACTGGGAAGGACAGCATATTATGTTTTCAAACTAATAATAAAAACTATAACTTGTTTTTCATGTTTTTTATCGTGTAGATTTCTACACTTGTTTTGGAGGCTCTTGTGAAATCACAAAATAGAAATAATTTAAAGATGTATTGTGTACAGTTTAATGAAATGCCGTACTGTAATGTAATAAAATATTTTTATGTGTTAATTTTTTAACTAGAAACGTCTGAAAGCAGCTGAAGCAGAAAGTAAATTGAAACAAGTATACATCCCCACCTAGTGAGTATAACAACAATGTCATTTTTCTGAGTAATACACAGGTAAAATTGAAACAGTAACATGCATGGTATTTTCCTAGTCATCTTTTTAATGGTTACTTCACAGGATTTGTTATATACAGAGGTATGATCAGAAAATGCTAAAAAGCTCTTAAGTGAAACCTTCTTAATTTACTGATCTCTTGTTCTTGACCTGCAATCTTTTTGTCTGTAATAAGAAGTTTTTCAAAGGCTGATCAAGTGCTACGTGGGGACTCTTCACATACAAGAAGAGCCTATTAATTTAAAAAGCAGTTTTTCCAAAATAATCTCTTCCAAATCCCTGTAGCACTACACTTCTTATTTACGTAAATGCAATATTTCAAAATAGAAGCAGTTGGTAATGTAGTTACATAAAATAAAATCAGATAATTTCCCATTACATTTTTATCTGGGTGATAAAATCTGTTCTTCATCTAGAGATAAGAGATATTCTGGGTCTGAATTAAAGGTAGCACAAGGCCCCAGACCTTCTATCTATGACCACATGCTGTTAATACAATCTTGTTTTGTTCTGAGGGGTTTTTAATCTTTCTTTTGGTTTTAAACTGGATGCTATATCTGCTTCTGTTAACATGTGGTTTGCAGAAAAAAAGATAAAATCCCTCCTTCATATTCATCATTTCCTCAATATTATGACAAGAGAAAGGATTAAAAATCACTTTTTTCTAAGCTTTCTGTGGGTATACTCAGTTTACTTATATATGAACTTCCCATTGTTATGAATGTTTGTATAACAGAAGAATGTAATACCAAAGGAAGTACTTTGCAGAGATTGTTGATGGCTTGTATAAATTGCATACAATAGTGTTTAATTTCCAGATTTCATACAGGCTTTTCTCTCTTAAACAGATGTAACAATGAAAGCAGCAGACTGTTAAATTAATTATTTTAATCTTAGAACAAAATTTGTGGGTTTTGAAGCTCACATGTCTAGTAAAAATAACACTGTTTAAACAAAAAGGTAGAAACTCTAGTATGAGTGTTCCCTAATCTTCTCAGATGAGAAGCTGCTATAGGAAAACCATAAGGTGCTCAGTCTTTACATTATGCTTTTTCAATTTAATTTCCTTGGTCCATGTGAACAATTACAGATTTTCAATATGTTCACAGTAGGGACCAGCTGTATTGGATGACAAAATGTGTTTCAAAACGTGGGATTTTTGCGCTTTTATCTTACTGCCTGTCTTTTGCCTCCATTTCAAAACAAAACCCCTAGTCAACAGTAGAAGGATGGTAGGACTTCTCAAGTTTTTGATATCTCTGGTGGTCATGGGATTTCTAAATGCTCTGCCTCAAGACTAATTTATTGCATTTGAAATCTGAGTAGAATTGATTCTCAGAGCTGAGTACCTTTTTGAACTTGATCATTAGGTTTTTCTTGTAAATGCAAGGTTCTGTCCTTAATACCAAAGAGTCCCTTTCAATTAATGGCTTTTCTGAAAGGTAGCTAAGCAACAGATCATAATGTGGAAGGCTTAATTGTCTTTCAATCTCTTCTCCTGTACCTTGAGCCCAGGATAAAGACTATGTGGAAATTGTAAAATTGTCTCTTGCTGATAAGTGAAAAAGGACAAGGCATGAGACAGACTTGTTGGCATTTGAAATAGAGACTTGATACAGCAAAGGTTTCTTCAATTGTCATTTTAACATTTCTTGAATATATTTTATGCTACCTAAAGTGACAAATAATTATCTTAGGCATCAATGTATCCAGCTTCGCATTGTATTGAGGGTAATTAAGACTCACAGAGTTGAAACTCTGGAAATATTGCACTTAACCTAGTGAGGAGTAAATTAATGCTCTCTGAAAAAATGACCTGTAAAGTCCTACTTCACTGAAGTATTAGAAGTTACAATAATTACAATATAATAATAGTGTAATAATATTAAAAAAGTGAAACAGAAATATCCAAAAACATTTAAGTCAGCCTTCTCAGAGAGGAAGTAGTTTAGAAAAGAAATGAGACAGAACAACCAGATATATGGGTGAGTTTTGCCATGGTTATAAGACATTTGTATTACTGTGTGTACCTCTTTTTCAGGCAGGAGGTTGTTTGATGCTTTCCTGGGATGAACAGCCTTGTAGTATTATTAAAGGCACTCTTGCTACTCTTGTTATACTTCACCCAAAGTCTTTCCCCGACTTGTAAAGCCTGATCTGTTGCCTAGAACCACCTTCTTAAATTCCATGTTGTGTCAGACCTTTGTTAATGCTTTGACCCTGAGACTTGGTCTTTTATGAGCTTGCCAAGTGGCTTAGACCATGTGAGCCCACTAAAGAGCTGTAAATTGGAGTATCAGAGCAGCTCTTAACGTATCAAGTGTCTGACAATGCTGAAAATAATGGAGGAGTACAAAAATTATTCTTGTTGTTTAGAGAAGATTTTATAGATGTTGTCAGCACACATCAGAATTCCAGAATTAGATTATTTGTTTTCATGTTGGCTAACCAGTTAATAAAACAATCTTTTTTTTTTTTTTTTCTTTTCATCTTTTAAAAAATGTTATGTAAAGCAATAAACCAAATCCCAATCAAATATCCAGCAACAATGGGAAACCTGCTGCAGTCAATGGAGCAATGGGAGCTTCTTACCAGGCACAAGCCACAGTAATAGGTCGGGCTTGTGAAAGCTGCTATAGTAAGTAATTTTTATTTTTTTTTTAATGACTCAGGAGTTTGGGTAAATCTTAATATGTGCTGTTAAAAAAAAGGTATGTGCTTTTGTTAGCATGTGACAGAGGATAATTTGCAATTACTCTTATAGCAGAAATTATTTTCAAGTTAGAGTTGCCTTCAGTATATTAATTAAAGTATTAAAATTACTTTATGATTTTTTTAACAATTTATAAAGCACAGAAAGTTTAAGTAGTATGATGATGATGATGATGGCATTGACATATTATTCCTTTACCTTCACAAAGCTAGAGTCAAATTTATTTTTGGTTTTCCTTTAAAGACTGCAGGGTTTTTGAGCTGGTCTTTTTATTTTGAATGGTTTTGGGGTATTTTTCCCCTCTCTGTTGTTGAGGAACATGGGGAGAACTACTGTTTCTTTCTAGTGTTTTGTGTGTTTCTGATAATTTTTGTTGGACTGTTTGAAACAGCAGCCTTCAAGAGAGGTTACATGAGAGCAGATACAAAATCCTACTTAATAAGCTTGTCTTCCAGGGTGAAATTAGAAATAGTGGGTTTTCTGGTTTTGGGTTTTTGGTTTTTTTTTCTGGTAGTCCCCTGGGAGAATATCTCAGCAATATTAAGTCCCTGGTTTGAAATTCATTATAAAAACATTTCCAAAATTTCCATTTGGAGTTGACTTCTGTAGTGCTTTTGTCAAAAAATAAAGCAACAAACAGCTCAAGTTCCTACTTTCTGTGTCAACTAAATATTTATCCATACAATGCTCTGATACTGGCATATGTTATGGCCATATATTGTCATCTATTACAGCATTATGTAATACAGAATGTAATACAGAATGTAGCCTGCACCAGTTCACCTGTGCTGCTTTCTCCTCCTTAGCTCCGCAGTCTCACCAATGGTATTCTTGGGGCCCTCCCAATATGCAATGTAGGTTGTGTGCATCTTGCTGGATTTATTGGAAGAAATACGGTGGCCTGAAAATGCCCACACAGACAGATGACGATAAACTGTCTTCCAGCCAACCTACAGAGGTAGGATTGTGTAGACAAACTTTACTGAAACAAAACATGGTGTTTTCACACAACTGCTGTGATATGATTATATAATGGAATATTTTTTATGTATGTATTCCACTTTGGCATTAGAAAATTCAGTTTATTAATCCTTTCCTGTGTTAAGTAGAACTGTACAGTACTCAGGCCTTGCCATATCTTTATTTGACTACTTCTTGTATAAACAAGCATGTGCTTCCTGCATTTTTGGTGTACAAATACTATTTTGTCAGTCGAATGGTGTGTTTTCTCTGAAATATTAAATATACTATACACTATCTCATTTAGGATGGCATTATATATCCATTTTCAATAGAGTTATCTGCTCTGCGGCTTATGGCTCCCTATATAGGCCTGTTTTTTGTATAGTGCTTAGACGTGTTATTTGCTTGTTCTTGTGGGTTTGTGCAGCTTGGGGATGTTTGAGCGCTGTGACTCGGACGTCTGTGTTATGCTGTGTTTGTTCCTTCCCCTAGGAATCGCATGTCAGAACTCACCTGTCCCGGCAGGCCACGCAGGGCACTCCGGTCCGTAACACGGGCAGTCCAAAGTCGGCGGTGAAAACACGGCAGGCTTTCTTTCTCCACACCACCTGTTGGACAAAACTGGCCCGCCAGGTCTGCAAAAATACCCTCCGGCTGCGGCAGGCAGCACGACGTCCCTTTGTCCCTATTAACTGTGCTGCCATTAAGGCAGAATGTAAGATGTTTTTTTAATTCTTAGTTCTGTGTGCTGTGCTTCCCACCCATTTTTGTCTTTTAATTTTATTTTCTTTTTCAATAAACATTTCTTGTCTATAAGCTTTTGCTTTTTTTTTTTATTTTTTTTTTTATTTTTTCATTTGTCCAGCGTATCACTGACACATTAGATAAAGTCCAGTTGCCTTGAACAGATCTTAGGCTGTGGAAACATTTTAAATTAATTAAAAAGGGGACAACTATTACCTCACGCATTTTCAAAAATTGACATTAATAAAAATGGGGGGCAGGAGGGGAAAATCAGTGCCACAATGTGCGTTCTTCCTACTAGGCAGCATGAAAAAAGTGTGCTTTCCTGTTTATTATTCATTTGCTGAGCAGAACATATAGATCTGTACATGTTGCACTTTTTTCCAATGGGATTGGTCAAAAAATCAAGAACTGGGGTTTCATAATAATTTAAATGTGGTATGCAATACATTTCTTGTCACTGTGACGGTGGTGATAGCCACGTTCATTATTATATCATAGTTGCATCATTTTGGTTTTTCTCTGTTCTGGCTTTAAATTTTAGTTCTAAATAAGATTCAGTATGATGCTTGTTTTTTTTATAGCCAAAACATAAAGACCTGATGAATTTCTAGTAGTATGATAAAAGGCTCTGAGTTTTTGTAGATGGTGACAGTAAGCGTCTTTACCTGAATATGTGTGTAAATTCTTCTGCAAAGTCACTGAATATTTCAACACCTTTTGTATCTGCACTGGGCACATTGGTTTAATGTTCACACTGTCTGGTTGGGAATCTCAGTCTTCCATAGATACAGTTCTTGGAGCAAAAGCTTGGTATTCCAGGGTGAGCCATGCTGGCTCATTGTACTGTCAATTGTATTAGAATTGAAGAGAACTTTTAAGATCATTAAATGTGGGGTTTATAGCCATGTTCACTAGATTAACACTAAATGTTTTCCTGGCATACTCATCTGGGATGCAGATGATGTCTGCATTGTTTATAAGAAATTCACTCTGTGGAGGCTTAAAATCTGATTTTGAGTAATTATTTTCCCTTTATGTACTTTAAGACCAGCCATTATGCATGTGAAAACTTTTCACCTACTTCTGCAGTACTCCAAAACTTGCTGGATATTTCTGTTCATTGTTCTTGTCTAATTTTTTAGTTGTTCTTTTGGCCATTTTCTTTCTTTTTTAAAATCCATGCAAGTTTGGAACAACTTCCAGATTTCAGGAAACCATGTGTTGACTGTGTGAATAAAATGAGTTCTTCATGGAAGAAGTATGTCTAAGGCTGGATTAGGGTTATATTTTTAATCCTTAATCCAAAATAAAAATTACTTTCTGAGAGAAGGGTATTGTACCTTTAAATTTATGTTTCTGCTGAATCATGGAGAAAAATTTAGAAGTTCACTTGAGCCTTAACTCTACTTTCCATATCCCTGTTTTTTCTCTCTCACTGGAGTAAAATATTTCAAAAGATGAAACTTTTGTTTAAGGAGAAGAAAAGACAGAAGAAAAAAATTTCATCCAACTGTTAATCATCATTCTAGAATGTGTTCAATCTTAAAAGAAAGGAGTGAAAAGCTGAGCTTTTCAGCAGGAAATAGTCATTCTTGCTTCACACTGGCAGTGCTGTGAGTTCTCTTTGCTTCTTTGAGTGAAAGAGTTCTACGTCAGATTAACTGCAAGACTAGAAAGACTTCTTTTTTCCCCTGTGTCTTTTCTTTCATTATTCTTTTTGCTTAAAGCAAATTTTGGACCTTGTGATTTTGTCTCTGAATTCTGATGCTTCCTGGTTGGACCTAACATAGGTTGAAGAAAAAAAGTTACAATTGTTAATGGTTTTGAGAACATAGCATTAAAATGATGCTCTAACAGTGGAAACCAAATTATGTACCTCAACTAATTTATGTTTCTTTGTACACACACACACGCACATCCACAATCCATGTTCTGTTTCAGGCAGAAACATGGTTCCTCTGTCTGTGGAATCATTACAGTGGTCTTACCTGCATTGTCATTGCCATATTCTTCCTCTAGTAAAGGCAAAAAAGTAAAGAAAAAAAAAAAGGTTTTAAGTTTTATTCCTGTACTAACATCTGGTGACCTGTTCTCAGTGCATTCTGTAGATTTTAATGTTATAAGGAAATAGTCTCTCTTTTTCCTGAGAAGGCCCTGAATCCTTTTCTAAGGTTATCTTGAAGCAAGTAATTTTTAGATTTTTAAATATCCTCAATTAGCAGTAATGATTTCCCATGCTAGATCCACTGAGTAATTACAGTATTGAATGAATATCTGTGTTGGTGTTAGAAATGTGACAGTCATGCTTAACTAGTAACCTGGCCAGAGTACCAGGTCACCCACGATGTGCTATGGCATGAGATGGTTAAAATGCCCAAGAACTGATTTAGAATTTGTTTTCCATGTTGGTTTGCTGAAACTTGAATCTACTTGCTGCTCAGATGCTTTGTCAGACTCACCTGAGACTCTGTGTGCCAAAACAGTTCTTGAAAATGGAACTGCATTTCCCAACCATATTGCATTAGGCACCATAACAACACTCAGAAACCATAAAATCTGATGACAGAAGGATTGGTAGGGCACTTATCCCAGCTGCATTCCAGGTTTTATGCCCACTTGTGCAATATTTTGAAGTGCCAGGTTGTAAATGAAACTGATTCCCAGATCTGAGAAGATCTGAACAAGAGTGTCAGAGCTCAGTCATAAAATAAATTGTTTTTTGCATTCCACCTGTGTGCCTGAATGCATCTGCAGCTACTTCTGGTATCTTGGAGGATCATGGAAGCCTCTGGGAATGATAACGTAAGCTCCAAATATCTTTTAGGTGAAAACCACATTTTGACAGAGCATTTTCTCTTTTTGAACATCCTCCCACGTCCTCTCTCTCAGCCCATTATGTCCACTGGCAGAAAACAAGGTCCTATTCTGTGTTCTTTATTCCTTCAGGTAGTGCAGAGAATTAGATTTTCCTCATTAATGGAGCCTGTAGCATGACCCCTGCTCAGATGCCAGCAGGAGGTAGTGGAGATGATGCTTTTACATCCCAGCTCAATCTCAGGATGGCCACCAGGAGGCTGAGAAGGCACAGCACCTCCTGCTAGGAGCACAGCCCATCATGGAAAGCTCAAACTTTGTTCTGCCTGAACTTAATAGACTCACTGTGGTTGGTGACAATAAACTTGTCTGATGGTTTTTCAGGAATAATTAGAATTGGTGAACTGCTTTGGTCTAAGTGGTGTAACACTACCTCCTTTTTAGTTTGAATATATTACATGTTTTTTTAGAAAGTTAAGACCATCCTGTCTGGGGAAGGTCTCCTAATTAGAGAAAAGCAAAGTGAGCATTCTCAGCAGTCACTGATGAGGCTGGATCTGTTTGCAGCTCACAGGCAGGTTGAGAAATGCCTGGCAGTGAGCCATGTGTCTGTAAACATTATTGCTTCAGCACAGGGAGACTTTTGAGGGATTTTTTTTTTTTTCCCCCATTGTTTGGATATAGCTTTATCACTATAAGTGCATGTATTAATTATAGTAATTCCAATCTGTATTACTGTATGTTGTCTACATAGAACTGATTGTTAAAATGTTTTCAGTGCACGGTAATATATTATCTGTATGATATATGTATAGTTACCTGGAAATGGGTATACTGATCATGATGAAAATTTATCACACATTTAAACCCTCAGATTTATTAACAAATGTGGTACATAGTACTTGCTAGTGATCTAGTTTCGTTAAACAAAGGCAAGTGGAAAGAGTAGAATATGTAAAATGTTACTGATTTGTCTTTGTAAGCATAAAGTTTGTATTTTACTGACATGAAGCTACCCATTCATCTGAATTGAGTAGCATTTATGCATATTGGTTCATAAACTATGTTTTGCATCCTTGATTTTGATAGCTATGGAAGAGCGTTTTAGCTGTATCTAGGATGAAGATATTTTTTCTGTTGTTACCTTTGAATGCAATTTGTGCCATATTTTAATAGCCAGCAAAATAATTGATAGCATATTATTTTTTTCCAGAGTTTCTAAAAAGAATACAATTCAGGGAATACAGTACATTCATTAGATGATATGCATTTTTACAGAGTTATGATGGAATGTCAGAGAAAAATAACTTGCTAATGAAAGTCTCTAAGCTTAAGAGACCTACAAATCTAGTTTTTTAAAAAAGGAAATAATTAGAAAATACTTCCATATCTGAAAGCACAGCGTAACTTGTTATCATGTTCTTGGCATTACTGATTTCATTCACCTCTGAAATGCCCGCATCAGTCATCATGCTTAGCAGCTTTAAAGCCTTATAAAAAATGTGCTTCACACTCTGGTTTGTAGTGCTATTTCCTAGAATTTTTCCAGTTGTGCTGTATCCTCTTTAGGGTTATGGTGCCCCAAATGGTGTACAGTTGAAGATGCAGATTTCCCATCATTTTTTAAAGTCGTGTTTTCTATTTTCCTGTCATCATGATTTCTAACATGCTGATTTTGATTTCTTTTTAGTATTGTCTAGATATTTTTAGCTGTTGATGCTGACTCCATAAATACTCTTCTTCTTAGTGATGGTGTAGAATCCATCATTATATCTATATATTACAGTTATTTTACCCCTTCAGAATTCATTTACATGTATTGCTTGATGCTACTCCTATCCTTCATAGGATGCTGATCCTAACCATCAGTTTTAGCTTTGATTATGCACAGAAATTTTTTATCGGGAAATTTTAGCACTCTAATCACCTCTTTTCCTGCCCTTTTATATGTTCAACAGAAGAGATCATTTGGGGATTACATAGACAATTAATTTTAATAAAGTGCTAATTCCTGAAAAAGCCTCTTCCCCCCGTAACAGCTGGACAGCAGAGATCTTTGGTGACCCTGTTTGGTAAAAGCTCTCTGAAATGCCAAATTGGATGCCAGATCAGCTGTATGTGGACAGGTCATGGTCCCATCAGAGGATCCTGGAAGGCCTGTGAGACTTTTACTGGCTTACAGGACATGTAAGTAGGAAGGGACCCTGGAGGTCTCTAATCCCACCTCTTGCATAAGGTTTACATGCTCATGGGCCTTTTGGCCAGGTGAGCTTTTTATACCTCCAAGGATGGAGACTGCATGACTTCTCTGGGCACCTGCTCCAGTGTTTGATCAACCTCAGAGTAAATAACCTTATCCTTATATTTAAAAATTTCCTGTGTCCCAGCCTGGCTGTTGGCACAGAGAGGAACAGTGTGTTCTCCTGTCACTGTGTTCCGCTGAAGAGGGACTGAGAGCTCAGTGTCTCTGCACTCTGCTACCGGGAGGCTGCAGGTGCCACCCAGGCGTCCCCTTGTCCTCCTCTCAAGGCTGCCCAGGCCCAGTTTCCCCAGGCCCTGTATGTCCTGCACTCAAACACCCAGTCAGCTTGGAGAGTCTCCATCAGCTGCTGCTGCTGCTGCTCCCGTGTGCCCACGTCTCCTCCGAGGTGGGGATCCCGGAGCTGAACGCGGGCTCTGGCCGTTGTTTCCCGTGGAGCGAGGGGAGGTGACCTCCCTGCCCTGCCCGGCCTGGTGCGCGCTCCTGAGGCCCAGCACGCCATCTTCCTCCCTGCTGCAAGGACGCACGCTGAGTAACGAGAACACGTTAAACTTGTTTTCCCTTCCAAGGTCTTTGTTGGCTCCCTTGATGCTTCCAAATTTAACCATGTGCCTCTATTAATAAAGCAACCTTTTGCCATTCTGCAGACCTACTTACTGAGGAATGTTATCACGTTTGCCCTGTTTTTGTTCTCTTGAACCAAGACCATTTAAGCATTCATTAAACACCAGCAGCGTGTCTGCTCTGAAGTTTGGATGATTTCCACCTGGTCCTGCTAACTTGGTTTTACGGATTAACTAGTGTATTTTGAAACATTTCCTATGGATGCTTCAGTGTGACACAGTTCTCTTATTTTCCTCATGAAAGTATTTTGGAAGTGAGCTTTAAGTGCTTCTGCAATGAACAGGGATACAAGGAATGCATTTGGCTTTTCTCCTGTGCCTTTATCTTTCTTGTGTATTTTCCTCCGACCTCATAATCTATTGCTACAGACACCAGCACACCTTCTGGTTTTGCTGTTTGAAAAATACACTAAGAAATTTAAGACTCCTTCTTGTTATAAATGTATTTTTTTCCTCATAGCTTCCACTATTTCACTGATCAAGAATTTTACCAAGAATTTTATTGCTCATATAAAAGATCATATTTGAGTTTAGGACTTGCTTTAAATTTTGAGAGTTTTGATAACTTCCTACCCAATTTTTATTCTCTGGTTGTACACTTGAGAATGATGCACAATACAACTTCTGTATTTTTCTCTGTGTTCTGCATAAAAATCGTAAACTTTATTATACTTTTTATGGGAGCACTTTATTGTGGATTGAAGTTTGCTGCTGTTAAACATGTTAAACTCTTTTGATAGATAGGTGTGCTTTGGTATACTCACCTTTGATGAACATGCTTTATCTCAAGCATGAAAATTGTGCTCTTCTTGCAGTATGTATCCCCAGTCAGCATATAAATACCACTCCATGATGCAATATCTTTTTTTACAGTGAAGACATGTAGATGGAGAATTTTCTTGCTAATTTCTTCTTAGGTGATGCTTTGCTGTTCTCAAGGTAGCTACAAAACACTGTGTAGCCTCTGCTTATTTTACGGAGGGAGTCAGTGGACACGTATCATTCTGTTCCTCCACATAAAATATTTCAGGTGTTTTGCAATATTAAAAATATTCCAGGAACCAGGTTTGTGCTTTTTGGGTTTTTTTTTCCCTTAACACAGTGTGTTTCGTGATAAAGAAAAAAATAATGAAGTACTTCATGTACTCAGCATTAGGGTTCTATAACCTTTGAAGCCCATTGGTATTTCCAGAATTTTAGGTAGATTCCCTAGTCTATTAAAGTAAATTGTGCTTTGTCTTCTGCACTGAAAACATCTTGAACATCTGAAATACTTATTCAAGTCATAACTGTGCATTCATGATCTTCATGGTGTTTGCACAGATCTAGATTAGCATAGATAAAGGGATTGTAAATTCTTCTACATGGTGTCTTATCCTCTTACTGTTTACTCTGTCTCATGTGCTGAAGTGAAGCAAATAGGAAGAGTTTGGTGAAACAAAGGGAGGAGTTGCAATTATAATCTATAATGTGTCCTTTCTGTAAAACTTTTATGTAGGTATTTGTGAGAAGTTGTTCCATTTGAGAGCACTCCCAATCTATATAATCACTGTGTGAATGCTGTTTTGTCCAGAACAGAATACCTGTATTCTGGAGATACTGGAAGTTCTATATGAGGGGTTTTATGTGTTTTTGGAAGACAGATAACTCAAACATTCTGAATAATTAAAAAGAAAAAAGAGGTAGTCTATTTCCAGTCATCTTGAAATTATTTACTGAAACCTAGTGCCTTGTGAATTTTTGCCTTACGTTGACCAACTTCATTTGTCTAAGCATGAGCCTCTTTATGTTAACATTTTGTGTTTGGGACACGTGGATGGAATCTCTGCTTGTGTGTGTTCACAGTAGCAGCAGGAAATTTAAGGCAGTTGATGCACTGCTAGTTTTCATGTACTTAGCAGAAAGTTACAATCTTTGAGAACTTTGAGCTGTGTAATACTTGGTTACAACTGACCATTCCATTGAAAAGTTTACAGTGAAGTGTTGTATGACAGAAATCAGTAGTCCCAGCTTTAAATTCTTAGCTCTATATTACCCCCATTTAGAGACAGAGAAGCTTGTAGGAAAAAAAAATAATTCAATGTGAATAATTTTTAATAGCCAAAACTGTATTTCTTTTAGTATTCATATTTTCATCTGTGTTTCATTTGCCTGACTGTCTCCAGAAAGATTTTGTAAGCAAAAACTATAATCTAACTGGTGTTAACACATCAACTTAGAAAAAAAATCACAACATCACTTGCATGAATGAGGACATGTCCTGTCTTTAAATATCCATGATTAGAAGTATTGATTAAAAAAAAGAATATAAAAGGTGTGCTAAAAGAAAAAAATAAATTTGTGTTAAAGATGCAAGTCAGAAACTGGTTGGTGTGTCCTAAATCTGTTTGTAATAGTAAAATATTTAAACTGAGTTTTATTCTTTAAAATTCTCAGATGCAGATCGACATTGTGAACTTGCTGGGAATCCTCTGAAGATAAAAAGCACCAGAAAACCACTGTCATGTATCATTGGGTATTTAGGTGCGTATCTGCCTCCAGAGAATAACAAACCAAACATTCTGTGTGTACTGAAGCTTCATCATGTGGTATGCACAGAAAGAGAGATTTATGCTTTTAGTAACAAGAAAAAAATTCTGAAGTTAATAAATTAATAAGAATGGTGGTCCACTATGAGTTGCAAAACTACATGGTTGAACGTGCAGGATATAGGCAGAAGTCCTCCTGATACTGGTTTAAAGTGTCTAAGTTAACCTGATTTAGAATGTGAAAAATAGTCTGGCTGTCTAAATAAAAAGGATAGCTGCTCAAAGGGCAGGTACTCAGTTATGCTCAGGGCTGCTGTACTGTGCCCTTTGTTTCCATTTGCATTACTACTTTTTACTTAAAAGCAAGGGTCCTCAGCCACACTAAGACACATACCTTAGTGTGATGACCTAAGTTTAAAAGGTTGAATGAAATGTGTACTGAGTTCACAACTAAGAGGAAAATGAACCCTTAAGTTAATGGGGAGAGGAAAAATTCTAGTAATAGTGATTCCTTGCAAGGAGCCATCAGTGACTGTTAAATATTTGCACAGTTACATAAGAATTGTGGTAACCCAGAGGCTGTTAATCCCCAAATGAATATGGAAATCAATCCATTGATCAGAGGAGCAGTGACCAATTCTACTGTGTATTAATCCTGTTCTACAGAAGTGAACTCTACAGCTGAGCATAGAGCTCAGTCTAGATGTTTTGCTCATAATTTCAGTCACCAGGAGGATTTTTTTCTGTATTAGATCAAAGTAAACAGTAAGTCTCTTGCCTTACTGAAATATAAATTGGCTATTAATGTAGTTACAATTATTCTTCCAGGGCATCAGTTTTGTCGCAATACTAACTTCAAGAATGTGAGTAATGAGAAATTAATGGCATTCTCACTGAATTTTGATTCCTCCTGCCCTGGAGTTCAAGAAAAAGCCTGGGATAATCTCCTACAGACTTCCTAGCTCTGTGTGTTATGTGTGCTGAAAGGACTGTTTTGGTTGACTTGGTGGTGTTGTGGTTATGAGGGGGGGGAAGCTGGACAGGGAATGGTTCATCTGGCTGACCTGTCTGTGCATCTAAAGAGGAAATGGTAACGTGGGTTAACTTAGGAGACATCACATGCTAGTGCCATGTTATGTAGCCTTTGAGGAGTTGTCTTGACCCCTCTGGGAGTCTGAGTCTGTAAGTTTAATGTGAGTAAATGGACAAACAGTGTCAGACAGTATTTTGTGAATTTACATGAAGGTCTGGTAGAAGATTAACAGTGCTAAGATATGCCAGGTATCTGTAGAGTCTGCTTAATATTTGACTCTGGGAAGTAAAGGTATCTCACTACAGCTGAGGAAAATAATGTATGTTATGGAGATATGAAGTGAGCCCAGTGCAGTTAAATATATTCATCTGAATTAGCTTTTTAGGGATGGCTGGAAAATGGCTTTTTGTTTGCCATGTAGCTTGGTGTCATTTTTTTAGTTTAGTTTGTTTGTGATCTTTTTTATTTGGTATTTTTGCAGTTTCAGTAAATAGTAAATCTTGTTTACTTTTCTCATAAAAATTAGTATTATATATCATGTCATAACTTGTATAGGAGACATTTGTTTTCTTTTTAAGATTCATGCTATGCTATTCTCACAGATATTTATTGGCATACGATTAACAGTGTGTCAGGGCACTACTGCTTTCACCCTTTCTGGTAAGGCAGAGAAGATTTCAGTGCCCTGCACATCCTGGGTAATCACTTCCCTTAATCCCTGTTCTGCATCTTGGCTGCAGGTTCCACAGGTGAGGTAGAACAAGCATTAAATTTATGCCCTGTCCTCTCAAGAGCTGGGTCTAATCCCTTGTATTCTCATCAGTCATCACTGTGTTCCCCAAAACAAAGCTAAGGTGAACCCCAGGCTAATTAAATGTCCTATATTACCTCCTACTTTTGAGGAAACCAGGCTAACACTCCAGCTGGGATACATGTTGAGGAGATGAGGTGAGATAAAGGTGCAGCTGCCTAAGCCCCTCTGGAATCCAGAATGTTTATTCAGTAGAAGACTTCAGCTTCTCTTTGTTTATTTTGGGTTTTTTATTTTTTTACACTACTGATAGTGGAAAAGAGAGAAGTTTTTAATTTTGTTATTGCTTGAGGTGGAAATCTGGTTCTATAAAACAGGTTCCTTATATGTTTTTGAAGCATTATCTCTACCTCCTATTCTTTTTTTGGCTTTTATTTATTGGCTGAGTGGTTATATTTTATGTGGTTAATGGGATAATTTGAATGCTATATAGTCAGTTCTCTGAGTTAGAATAAGGTGCTGGTGGCTAGAAAATTTTCAGTGAAGTCCTAGGCAATAGAACAAGGATAAGACCAGAAGAACTATTATTCCCTAATACAATTATATGAAGGGATAATAGGCAAAACCCCTGAAATGCCCTGTTACTCTGCTTGGGTGTGATGAGGCAGCTGGTTATAGAGTGCTGGTCTAAAATATGAAAAAATATTTGAAGCAAGTCTATATGTAGTGGAGGAGTGAAGTAAGATGTAAAGGTCTGTGCAGGAAGGATTCAGTCCATTAGGAAGTGGTCCTGGCTGTTTGACTGAGTTCCTTTCTAGAACTTAAATTTAGAGCTTGGTCTTGCTACCTTCCTCTACTGCAGAAAGAGAAAAGACAGCCTTTGTGGTAAACTGAGGATTAGTGACTTTTGACCTGAATAAAAGCTGAAGGAAGGAAATGCTTCCTTCCTCAACAGTTTGCTTACCTTGAAGATATAAAATTACCTCTCCTGTAGGTTGTATATGAAAGGAGATGGAGTTCTCATATGTTGATGCAACTTTTGAGATTTTTGTGGTTGCTGCTGGAGCTCTTTGGCAAATAAAATAACATTTTAGTGTTGTTAGCCCTGAAAATATACCATTTCCTTCAGAAAATTGGAAAAGATTGCTAAATGAACAATTCAGAATGCAAATTCCAATTACCTTCAGCAAACAGCACAAGCATTTCTATTTCAATTTAGAGTTTTGCCTTAGCAATCAGTGGTGTTCATAGCATTAAGCATGTCTCTGTTCCCATTTTAGTAAAAAAGCAAAATATGAGACGCTTTTTCCCCATAGCAAGAAAAATGGGACATGCCATGAAATCTTTTTGGTATGAAAAGCAGATGAATTCTGCAGTGAACAGCAGTAAAATGTTCTCACCTAATTAAGTGGTGGGAAATTTGTTGATGTCAAATCTAGAGCTCTGCCCTGAAGTGACTGGTTACCTGTGCCATCCCTCTCTGCTGTTCTAATGCTTGCCCATCTATTTCTCTGCCCTACTGTTTCTTATCTGGCCCTCTTGAGGCTGCTGGTGAGAGGGTGTTCATGCTTGGAGAGTGTGACTGTGAGCCCCAACCAAACCAGTGGTGAACAATTCAGCAAAGTCTTTTCCAGTGTAACAATTGTTGGCATTGTCTCCTCCTGGCACACTGTTCCAGTACAGCCTGGCCAAGGCCATGAGACCGAGAGCTCCAGGCAGGGCAGGCGAGCACTTGGAATCAGACTTGGAGCATTCCTGAAGGAGGAAAAACATGCTATTGCAGTGGGCTTTGACTTTATGCAGTGGTTTCTCTTTCTGAAAGATAGCCATGGATGGCAGAGGCTGGAGAGGCTTCTCCTTGGATACCTGGTCTCACTGTAGATTTTGCATCTTCTCAGTTTCTGTGCTCCACTTTATAAATAAGAAGCGTTTTTCAGGAGGCGTAAACCTGGGCTGGAAATGAGAAATTACTTAATTTTTGTGTTCTGATCTCACTTGCCTTGGGCAGCTGACTCTGCTGATCTGACTCCCAGCCCCTCTGCCTTCTCAGCTGCTTCTGTTGCCTGGGGTCATCAGAGGGCTGCTGTAATTGGGCTGCAAGCTCCTCATGGCCTGCACAGTGCCAGCAGCTGGTGCCCTGTGGCTGTGTCACAGGGATGGGACCTGCCCTCGGGCAGCTGACTTCCCACACAAGTCTCGGTCTACCCAAGGCTGGACACAGTGGTGGCATTTTGAAGCCAAATGTGTGATGGGAATTAATTAATTGGTTCAGCAAATTCCTAGTGAGGGACCAGCAAACTCAGCCAAGGTTCCTGTTTGCCACTTCTATCTGGCAGATAACTGAGAGACTTCCATGCAGCTGTGTCAGCTCCTGGCAAACACTCTGAGATGTGCTGGCCAGATGTGCTTTGCTGCCTCTTACCCTCTTTATTCCTCCTTCTCCAAAATAATCTTGCTCCATGAAACAGATACTCTGGGATGTTTGAAGCTCCCCAGTAATTACTCTGAATGGAAGATTTCCCACTGCAGTTTTGGGGTGGTTCTAGCTGCAGATCCCTACAGTGCTGCCTGGCCCCTGACTCCTGTGCCTTGTGACTGATGTTTGGGAATATCCCTTAAAGCTTGTTATTGTGACAGAAAATACTGAATAGTTTGAGGTATTGAGGTGGTTTCACTACAGTAAATGCTTTTATTTGCTTGCTAAAACTTGTGGGTGTGTAGCTTCAATACTAACCTCGAAAGTGTGGGAAAATATAAACACACCCATTTCAGACTGTTTTGTATTTATTAGCTCTTCAACCTCAAATCCTTACATATCTGCAATGTGGAATTGAACTTGGGTACTCTGAAGTGAAATAGATTTTTCTTACTTCGAGGATACCTTACTTTGTGTATGAAGACTCATGTTGTTCAAGGTCCTGTAAACACACAAATGCAGAAAGAACTTTCTTTTCACTGAAAATCAGAAGTAAATTTCATATGTGGAATAGATTGTTTTAGTTATTTTAAAATCAAGTAGATATCATTTCTCTCTCTCTCTCTCTCTCTCTCTCTTTTGTCTCAAACAGAGATACATCCTGCTGTGAAACCCAATGTAATCAGGTCAACACCAAGCCTTCAAAGTCCAAGTGCAAAGCGACTGCTTGCACCCTCCAATCACTCTTCATTAAGTATTTTGGGGAAAAGAAACTACAGCCATCATAATGGGCTTGATGGTATGTGAAGGAATATAAAAGAAACATTCTTTAACTTTCTGAATTGCAAAACTTTCTGTGAGTACCTGAGGTAACATTAAATGAGAGTGTACAGACTTAGGAAAATGTAAGATAATGGATGGTATGTTTATAGCAGCAGTGCAATGAATGGAGGTGCTTATTTGTTGGATAACGATATATTAATGCCTTCTCTTACAAAAACTCCATTTGCCATTTCTCTTACTGGTCTTGATTAACCAAAAAATGAGAAGAAAAGAATAAAACATATTTGCTGAAGGCAGAGATGCATCATGTTTTATTTTGGCTTTTTGCAAAGCCACTCCCTGCAGAGGAGGAAGCAAAAGAGGTGCAGGAGAGGCTTTTTCCTGTACCCTGTGCAGTGCCAAGAGGTGATTTTTAGGCCTGGTGTATCCAGCTATTTCATTGCACCCCACTGCAAACTGACAGCAGGAATAAAGCTGTGTGAAAAACAAAACAAACAAAAAGGATGTAAATTTCTGGGTAAGACTAACTTTTCTCAAATATTCTTCATTTTTTTTATCCTGAAAAGTGACTGTGCATTATTGATGATTTTTTTTTCTTTACCTAACAGAAAGATTTTTCAACTCTACTGTAAACAGTTACCTTGTCCAAATAAGAGGAGAATCCAGCAGGATATAATGTTTACACTAAAAGAAAATGCATGCATGCATTCCTGTTACCTCTTTTTGAGATATAACTTCTGTAAGCTATTAGCTTATTTGTTCTGTAATTGAATAAGGTTATTGACAGTAGAAATCCGTCAGACTTTGGGCTCTCAAATAGACTGTTCAGGAGATGATGTTCACAAAAGAGTTGTCTGTCTGCTTTCATGCTTCACAGAATAGGTCAAGGTAGAAAGGAGAGAAATTGCCTTTCAGACAAGCTTATAGAAGCAGTATTCCAAATAAAGGAAAGAAAACTGGATTTGTTATCCATCATCTCACCCATAATCGTGTTTTTCTGTCATTGCAAACACTACTTGTATACTGCAGTGAAAACACCTACTGTACATTTAATAACACCTAGATAGGAATCGTGGCATCCTTTGACAAGAAGTGGTTACTGAGAAGAGAGGATTGCTTTCATTCTGCTCAGCATGCAGCTATTACACCACAGACAAACAACATTCACAGCAGCACAGGCTCTTTGGGGACCAAGGTGACACCATGTGCATACAACTAGCTGGAAGAAAATAAGGTATCTGCCTTAGTAGGCAGAGCCATAAGTGCTGACTTTCCACTGCAACCTTTGGAGTTGTGCATGAATGGTTTAGTAGTTGCTGCATGAGAATGTGGACAAAGGCCTCCCCCTCCGTCAATGCTGGCCATTAGACTGGGCTCTTCATGTAAGCTTGAGAGATGGGTTAATTTCCCTGGATGTAAAGATGATCATAGAATTCTTTCAGTTGGAAAAGACCTGAAAGATTAAGTCCAACCCTTAACTCAGCACTGCTAAGCCCACCACTAAACCCTACATGCCACAACTGTTAAATCCCTCCAGGGATGGTGACTGAACCACTTCCCTGGGCAGCCTGTTCCAATGCTCGACTGTGCTTCCAGTGGCTTTCCCTAATATCCAACCTAAACTTTTCCTGGCATCACGTGAAGCTATTTCCTCTTGTCCTATCACTTCTTATCTGTGAGAAGACTGACTGCCCATCTGGCTGCAACCTGTACATTTCTCCAGCAGAGAAGGCTTTAGGAGTTTGTTCAAGGTAATCATTGTGATTAGGCCCCTCCTTATGTCTCTGTAAGGAGGCATGCTTGGAAATCTGTAAAATTTTTCTTCTACTTAGTATGGATGTTCTCCTCAAAGAGTGTGTAAAACCAGTCATTAGCTACTTTAATTAGTGTGCATCAAACAGTCAGCTGTGTTAAGGCAATTGGCACAAAATAACACCTAATTTGAAAAATTAGTATTGAGAACTGCAAGTCATTGCTTTACAAGATATTTCTGCTTATCTGTTTTCTGTGAAAACAACATATTGGTTGTTCCATTCCTAAATAAGTGAAATCTGTATTTTTTTTAAGTGCAAAAATTACTATCTTAGTATTAAAAATGGCTATTTTAGTTATTATTCTTGCCACTCACTTTAAAATGTGGAAAAGTGTAAATAAAATGCAATGAAAAAGTAACAAACCAGCAGTAACTAGGCTCTACAGCACATATTCAATTTCTTCTGATTTAGAAGTTGGTCAACCTTCAATATTTACCATTTATCTCCTCATCAGATTATTGGTAAATATAAATTTTTAATATTTTTTGCTTGTATTTCATCCAGCTTCTCTTCAGTACTACATCATCTTGGGAAGTGGTTGTTTCTGTATCATTTCCCTGACCACAGTGTACTTTTTGTGCACTGAAAGGTTTTGCCAGCCCCCAGAGTTTTTTTGTTACTATAAATACACCAAAAAGCTTTTTTGGTTCCAAAATACTATTGATTGCTGCAATTTTGATTGTGTTGTATCAATTAACAGTATCCAGAAAGCCTGATACAGAGATGATGGGTTCTGCCTTTCAGTGAATGCATGCTTTGGTGAAATGAGCAAACACAAAGGAGCACAGGGGGCTTATATTAAATCTCATTTGCTATTTTCATAATCTTAATATTATTGGCATGGAAATGTCTGCATTTTCAAGTTTGCTTTTTTTCCAACACTATTAGATAATTTGTTGTGAGAAAGCCACATAAATATGTTTACTTAAGTTATACAATATTTCACAGTTTTTAAATAAATGTTACTTAGGCTTGTGCAAATATATATTTAGATTAGCATAATTTAAGTCAATCTTACTGCCCAGATGAGTGCCTTATTTTGGTAGAATTTTTTCTTTAGCAAATTAATAATTATTTGCTTTGAATATAGCAGTACATTATGGAAATGGCACCTTTTTATGCCTCCTTGTGGAATTGGGGGAAGATTATGAGAAACATCATTAATATTTAGTTAAATGATAAGAGTAATAAACGAGAATATGATTAGCATTTCTTATACAAGTCTTACATTGGCTTGAGTTTTGCTTTTCACCAGTGCAGCACAAGATTCCCTTTCAGCTTTCCATGGATGCACCTCCAGGAAAGGTCAGGTGCATTGATAGGGGTGAGGGAATTTGGTGCTTTTGACTGATTTTGCTTGATCATTGTTGAGAATGATGAGGGAACTCATTTATCTTTTCCTAATGGGGATGTTGTGCTGTGAGATCTTGTTATTGTCAGTCATGGACATGAGTGAAATTGCTCTGCTTAAGCACTGTGTATTGTGGCTAGAAAAAGGATCTTGTAGGTTTTTGTGTCCCTTATTAGGAGGCATTCTTTTGCTGATGGTCTTAGAAAAATGTTTTTCATTTCATTTTATTTTCAAACCAACAGCAAATCTTGCATTCTGTAAAATGTAATCAAAAATGTCAGTGAACCGGCATTTTGCTGTTCTGGAAAAGTCACTTTGAGAAGTTTTTGTGTAATATATATGCTGGAGCTTTTAACTACTTTGAGATGCAGCATTTCAATTGCTGCTGAAATTAAAGTCAGCATAAGATATTTAAGTAGTTCTCTGCCGTGAAGATAGCCTCTTTCAAGTGGGAAAATTCCATCTTCAGAAAATCACGATGTTGCAGAAGGTTACATGTATCCAATTTTGTTACTGGAGTTGATGATGGGAAGATTTAGGTGTGACTGTAAAGTGCTTTAGATATTTTGAATCTGATCTTTAAATTACAGTGTCTGAAATTATTCCAAGCAATTACTTTCTCCCACAAGCTGCTTAACTGTGAGCAACAGTGTGTCCAAGTAGTCAAATTTCACATCAGCTTATTGTTTTGGCAGGGTGAGTAATGATAATTTTTCTTATAGTATTTGCAAACATGAGATAGAGGTATTTTACACAAGAATAATCTCTTTCATCTGTCATGCATCTCCTTACCTTTCATGCATGAGAACCTGAATATCCACAGGATGTCCAAGGCATCAGCGTCACTAATGAGGTACAGAAATCTGTCTCTGCCTGTTGATTCCATTTTCATGTTGTGGACAAAAATAAAAGAAGCAGGTTTTCGTAGCTGAAGAGACTCAAATCAACAGCCCTGATCCTCCTCTTCCCTGCCATACCTTAAGTGCTTCAGTCTGAGACGTCCCGCTGCCTTGAAGAGGATTCTTTCAACAGTCAAATTTCTGTTCTGGAATATACTGAAGTGTGCAGCAGTTAGGAATGAGGCAACAATTTTAGGGTCTGTTTTCCTAGGAACCCACACACCTCTGGCCTGGCAGGATGAGAAGGTGACATAAGAATAGGCAAACAGAGAAAGATCTCAAAAAGGTGTACCTTCTCTCTTAAATAGTGTCTTGGTCAATCCTTCTCTTTGTGTTTATGAGTGATACTATTGGCTGTTCAGGAGATGAGTAAAGTAGAAAAGCTTTATTTTCACCCCTATTTTTCCATGGGGAATTTATGACAAACAGATGAAAACATAAGCAGCCTGACTGACACACAGTCAATTCAAGTCAGTCCAATTTTCTTGAAACAGAGAAAATAATTATAATACAAGTTTCAGTATAATTAAGTTCACATAACACTATGTGAAAGTACATTAAAGGGAAGGAGTTTTCACTCTAGGATGGAATTTTTCAGCAGTGAGTGAGTTGTTTTCTCCCAAGGGTGCCTGTCATTATCACAATACTATTTTCTGGCAGAGACAGAGATGTTCTGTTATGGTGGCAGAGGAGCAGCATGGATCAATATCAAAAAACATCTGGTGCTCTGTTACTTTGAAAAAGAAAACCCTAAATTTTCTCTTATACAGTAATAAAAACCTACCAAACGTCCCAAAAACCTACCAAAATTGTTATAAACCTCATTTAAAATACCAGTGATTTCCAACTGAAAGAGAAGAAATTAGTTGTGGCAAACAAGCTGCTATGTGAAATCTTGCCATTTCTTCCATGCTGAAACACAAGGTATGATTAATTCTGGGTTGTGTATACTCACTCTTCCCAAAAGTGAGAGACAAAAGCTATATATTGCTCCACAGTCAGTTTTTCTTCTGAAGTTTGATTAGGACATGCGTGTTATAGCTTTGGTCTTTGGTATAGCTGGAAACGCTTTAAAATATTCAGCTACAGATTTCTCAGTCAAATGTGT